AAGGAGGGGTTTGGGATATTGGTAATTTGGAGGGATATGTTATACAGTGGACCCCCGCATACAGTCGGCATCACATAACGTTTAATCCGCATACCGCTCGCTTTTATCGCAAAAATTTTGCCTCGCATACCGCTCAAAAACCCACTCACCACTGTTCGTCCGAGACGCGTCCAATGTGCGCCCTTAGCCAGCCTCACATGTGCCGCCGGTGGAATTGTTTACCAGCCAGCCTCCGCGGTAACATCCAAGCATACAATCGGAACATTTCGTATTATTACAGTGTTTTTGGTGATTTTATCTGCAAAATAAGTGACCATGGGCCGAAAGAAAGCTTCTAGTGCCAACCCTACAGCAATAATGGTGAGAATTACTATAGAGATGAAGAAAAAGATCATTGATAAGTATGAAAGTGGAGTGCGTGTCTCCGAGCTGGCCAGGTTGTATAATAAACCCCAATCAACCATCGCTACTATTGGTGGTACAGCTGCTGCTGCTGCTGTACCACCGTCAGCTGCTGCTGCTGTTGTACCACCATCAGCTGCTGCTGCTACTGCTGTAGTACCGTCTGCTGCTGCTGTAGTACCGTCTGCTGCTGCTGTAGCATCGTCTGCTGCTGCTGTAGCACTGTCAGCTGCTGCTGCTGCTGTACCACCATCAGCTGCTGCTGTAGTACCATCTGCTGCTGCTGTAGCATCGTCTGCTGCTGCTGTAGCACTGTCAGCTGCTGCTGCTGCTGTAGCACTGTCAGCTGCTGCTGCTGCTGCTGTATCACCGTTGTTGGTGTGGCTTATTGAGAATACCAAGAAACAATTTAAACCCAAGGGGATTTGCCCCGGAAAACCCCAAAAAAGTCAGTGTCATCGAAGACTGTTAACTTATTTCCTTTGGGGCCCTTTAAATTTTGTCCCAGGATGAACCCCCACCCATCGACTAACCCCCAGGTGAACAGGGAAAAAGCCGGGGAACTAGGTTACTGGTAAATTTTAAAGCCAAAAAAGGGTTTGGTTTGGGAGATTTAAAAATTCGTGTGGCATCACAGTTGATAACCCTGTTCTGGAAGAAAATCCCAAACAGGACCACGTACTCAGGAGGAAAGGCACTCCCGGACACAGTGTTCACAGTCATTGTGCATCTTCAATAAAGGAAAGTGTCTTTTTTTTTCATTTAGTAGAGTATACATGCACAATATTATTGTGCATGTACTACTCTACTATTGTGCTGTATCCTTCTCTTTGTGTGTAGGAAAAATGTATAGTTCATGTGGTAAAATTTTTTTTTTCATATTTTTGGGTGTTTCCCGGATTAATTTGATTTCCATTATTTCTTATGGGGAAAATTTATTCGCATACCGATCATTTCGCATAACAATGAGCCCTCTTGCACGGATTAAAGTCGCTATGCGGGGGTCCACTGTATATCTTTATATATGCTTCTAAACTATTGTATCTGGGTGCCTCTGCAAAGACAGTGATTATGTATGAGTGAGGTGAAAGTGTTGAATAATGAAAGTATTTTCTTTTTGGGGATTTTCTTTCTTTTTGGGTCACCCTGCCTTAGTAGGAGACGGCTGACTTGTTGAAATTTTTTTTTTTTATTATTAATACATTGGTCGATTCCCACCAAGGCAGGGTGGCCCGAAAAAGAAAAACTTTCATCATCATTCACTTCCATCACTGCTTGTCAGAGGGTGCTTACATACAGTTATAAGTTCAACATTAAACCCCTCCTTCAGGTGCAGACACTGTACTTCCATCCCCAAAGGACTCAAGTACCTCTGCAGTTTCCCTGAACCTTTATAAATGTTACTTTGCTCACACTCCATAGCATCATCAAGTATTATAAACCATTGTCTCCATTTAGAGGTATAAACGCTCCCTTCAAATCCTTCCTAGGCCGACCCCTACTCCGCCTTCCCTCCACTACAGATTTATACACTCTCAAAGTCATTCTGTTTTGGTCCATTGTCTCTTCATATCCAAACCACCTCAACAACCCCTCCTCACCCCTCTGGATAATGGTTTTGGTAATCCCACACCTTCTCCTAATTTCCAAACTACGAATTCTCTGCATTATATTCACACCACACATTGCCCTCAGACATGACATCTCCACTGCCTCCAGCTTCCTCCTCGTTGCAACATTCATCACCCATGCTTCACACCCATACAAGAGTGTTGGTACAACTATACTCTCATACATTCCCTTCTTTGCTTTCACGGACAAAGTTCTTTGTCTCCACAGACTCGGAAGTGCACCACTCACCCTTTTCCCCTCATTAGTTCTACGATTCACCTCATCCTTCATAGACCCATCTGCTGACATGTCCACTTCTAAATATCTGAATACATTCACCTCCTCCATACTCTTTCCCTCCAATCTGATACCCAATCTTTCGTCACCTAATCTTTTTGTTATTCTCATCATCTTACTCTTTACTATATTCACTTTTAATTTTCTTCTTTTACATACCCTGCCAAACTCATCCAACAGCCTCTGCAACTTATCTTCAGAATTTCCGAAAAGCACAGTGTCATCGGCAAAGAGCAACTGAGGCAACTCCCACTTTGTGTTTGATTCTTTATCTTTGAACTCCACACCTCTTGCCAAAACCCTCGCATTCACGTCTCTTACAACCCCATCTATAAATATATTGAATAACCATGGTGACATCACGCATCCTTGTCTAAGGCCTACTTTTACTGGGAAATAATCTCCCTCTCTCCTACATACTCTAACCTGAGCCTCACTATCCTCATAAAAACTCTTCACTGCTTTCAGTAACCTACCTCATATACCATACACCTGCATCATCTGCCCATTGCCCCCCTATCCACCTTGTCATATGCCTTTTCCAAATCCATAAATGCCACAAAAACATCTTTACCCTTATCTAAATACTGTTCACTTATATGTTTCACTGTAAACACTTGGTCTACACACCCCCCTATCTTTCCTAAAGCCTCCTTGTTCATCCTACTCTCCGTCTTACTCTTAATTCTTTCAATAATAACTCTACCATACACTTTACCAGGTATACTCAACAGACTTATTCCCCTATAATGTTTGCACTCTCTTTTCTCTCCTTTGCATTTATACAGGGAACTATGCATGCTCTCTGCCAATCCCTTGGTACCTTACCCTCTTCTATACATTTATTAAATAATAGCACCAACCACTCCAGAACTATATCTCCACCTACTTTTAACATTTCTATCTTTATCCCATCAGTCCCAGCTGCCTTACCCTCTTTCATTCTACCCACTGCCTCATGAACTTCCCCCACACTCACAACTGGCTATTCCTCACTCCTACAAGATGTTATTCCTCCTTGCCCTATACACAAAATCACAGCTTCCCTATCTTCATCAACATTTAACAATTCCTCAAAATATTCCCTCCATCTTCTTGATACCTCTAACTCTCCATTTAATAACTCTCCTCTCCTATTTTTAACTGTCAAATCCATTTATTCCCTAGGCTTCCTCAGCTTATTAATCTCACTCCAAAACTTTTTCTTATTTTCAACAAAATTTGTTGATAACGTCTCACCCATTCTCTCATTTATATACAGTACATGTATATATATAAAACATGAAATAACTCTAAAACACTTGAAATTTTGGAAAGTTTCCAGACATAATGGAAAGATGCTGTGCTCATGGAGCTCATGGAGAATGTAAACAAACTGGGTGGGGCGTGGTGACCGTATTAGAAAGTCAGGTGGGGGGAGACATATAGAGAGTTTTGGTCATAATTTGAAATGTCCGTATTAGCAGAATGCCACAAGGCGAATCACCGTAAAGCGGGGCCCTACTGTATTGAAAATTCCGCAAATTCCACCATGATATAATTCAGCTCTGCTTTATATTGAGATTATATACGGTATATGATATAGGGCTTTTTAAATTATTATATTTAATATTACATGCATGGTTTCTGAAATTATATTAGGTTTATAAAAGAAGGAAATTAAACGTGAATATAGGAAAGAGCAAGGTGATGAGGTTAAAAAAAAATTTAGATAATGAAAGATTGAATATCAGATTAGAAAGAGGGAGTATGAAGGAAGTGAATGTGTTCCGATATTTGGGAGTGGAGTTGTCAGCAGATGGGTCTATGCAAAACATGGGCAAAAGGTAGGTGGTACAATGAGGTGTTTGTAGAATCAAAGTACATTATCTGTGAAAGCAAAATGGGAATGAATGAGAGTATAGTCATAACAACACTCCTATATAGGTGTGAAGCTTGGGTGGTGAATGTTGCAGCAAGGAGAAGGCTGGAGGCAGTAGAGATGTCATGTCTGAAGGCAATGTGTGGTGTGAATATTATGCAGAAAATTCATAGTTTGGAGATTAGAAGAAGGTGTAGGGTTACTAAAAGTATTATCCAAAGGGCTGAGGAGGGGCTGTTGAGGTGGTTTGGACATTTAGAGAGGATGAAGCAAAATAAGAAGACTTGGAGAGTGTTTAAATCTGTAGTAGAGGGAAGGAGAAGCTGGGGTGGCCCAAGGAAAAATTGGATGAAGTGGGTAAAGGAGGCTTTGTATGTGATGGGCTTGGATATCCATCAGGTGTGTGAGAGTGCTAGGAATGAGGGAGGCAAGTGGGTTTTTATGACTTAATGTGCTGTTGGAGTGTGGGCAAGGTAACAGTTGTGAAGGAATTCAGGGAAACTGGTAGCTGGACTTGAGTCCTAGTGGTGGAAAGTACAGTGCCTGCACTCTGAAGGAGGGGTGGGGATATTTTCAGTTTGGAGGGAGCATCTGAACTGTAGTATCGTCACATCTTTGGCAAGACAGTGATGGCGTGAGTGATGGTGAAAGTGTTTCTTCTTTTTTCGGTCACCATACCTGAGTGGGAGACTGCTGGTTTGTTGAAAAAAATAATTAAGGTTTACTCTGCATATTGTCACAGTTCCCAAATTAGTATACCCATTTCACTGATACAAGTGCTGCTAGTGTAGTACCAACACTGTTTCTGATAAGTATACCTATTTGACAGACACTAGTGCTGCTGGTACCAACACTGTTCCTGGTGTGGGCTCATGGCAAGGCCAGCGACCTCCTGTTATGCAGCCCATAATGGTTAATCAACAATCTCAACAGGCAGTGCAAACAGATACAACAGCAGCAAAACAACTTCCCAATTCAATTCCAAGTAAGTGCTTTACATGGAAGATAATTTAAATATTGTTTATAAAACTCTATGATTCTATTGTAGGATAAATAATATTGTTTAAAATTCACTGTTTTTTTAATGGTTGGAACAATGGTTCAGTAACATCATTTGTGTTTAGTGTCAGTTTTGTGTATTATTATTATTTTTTATTTTTTTTTTCAACAAGTCGGCCGTCTCCCAACGAGGCAGGGTGACCCAAAAAAGAAAGAAAATCCCCAAAAAGAAAATACTTTCATCATCATTCAACACTTTCACCACACTCACACATTATCACTGCTTTTGCAGAGGTGCTCAGAATACAACAGTTTAGAAGCATGTACGTATAAAGATACACAACATATCCCTCCAAACTGCCAATATCCCAAACCCCTCCTTTAAAGTGCAGGCATTGTACTTCCCATTTCCAGGACTCAAGTCCGACTATATGAAAATAACCGGTTTCCCTGAATCTTTCTTTCTTTTAACACACGAGCCGTATCCCACAGAGGCGGGGTGGCCCAAAAGGAAAAACGTAAGTTTCTCCTTTTACATTCAGTAATATATACAGGAGAAGGGTTACTAGCCCCTTGCCCCCGGGCATTTTATTGCCCTTTACAAACCATGGCTTACGGAGGAAGAATTTGTTCCACTATTGTTATGAAAAAAATCAAGACAAGAAAGAAATAGAAAAATTAAGAGGTGTGTGTATATATATGTGACATGATGTTAGTGTGACTAAGTGTAACTAGCGTAGCAAGTGTGCTTAAAATCTTTTTTTTAAACGTTTATGGAGCCCCAAAAAACGGACATTTAAAAGAAATCCTTCCATCATTAAAACACTTACAGCTGTTTTACACTGCTTTGGGCAGGGTGGTAGTAAACGCCCTAGAGTGTTAGCTGTCACCAACCTAACTGCCTAGGAACTCTTTAAAGGCACTTTTAAAAACACTATCCGACAAAGAAAACCGTTTCCCTATAAATTACTTTTTTTTTTTTTTAACAAGTCGGCCGTCTCCCACCGAGGCAGGGGACCCAAAAAGAAAGAAAATTCCCAAAAAGAAAATACTTTCATCATTCAACACTTTCACCACACTCGCACATTATCACTGTTTTTGCAGAGGTGCTCAGAATACAACAGTTTAGAAGCATAAACGTATAAAGATACACAACATATCCCTCCAAACTGCTAATATCCCAAACCCCTCCTTTAAAAGTGCAGGCATTGTACTTCCATTTCCAGGACTCAAGTCCGACTATATAAAATAACCGGTTTCCCCGAATCCCTTCACTAAATATTACCCTGCTCACACTCCAACAGATCGTCAGGTCCCAAGTATCATTCATCTCCATTCACTCCTATCTAACATGCTCATGCACGCTTGCTGGAAGTCCAAGCCCCTCGCCCACAAAACCTCCTTTACCCCCTCTTTCCAACCCTTTCGAGGACCCCTACCCCTCTTTCCTTCCCCTATAGATTTATATGCTTTCCATGTCATTCTACTTTGATCCATTCTCTCTAAATGACCAAACCACCTCAACAACCCTCTTCTGCCCTCTGACTAATGCTTTTATTAACTCCACACCTTCTCCTAATTTCCACACTCTGAATTTTCTGCATAATATTTACACCACACATTGCCCTTAGACAGGACATCTCCACTGCCTCCAACCATCTCCTCGCTGCTGCATTTACCACCCAAGCTTCACATCCATATAAGAGTGTTGGTACTGCTATACTTTCATACATTCCCTTCTTTGCCTCCATAGATAACGTTTTTTGACTCCACATATACCTCAATGCACCACTCACCTTTTTTCCCTCATCAATTCTATGATTAACCTCATCCTTCATAAATCCATCCGCTGACATGTCAACTCCCAAGCATCTGAAAACATTCACTTCTTCCATACTCCTCCTCCCCAATTTGATATCCAATTTTTCTTTATCTAAATCATTTGATACCCTCATCACCTTACTCTTTTCTATGTTCACTTTCAACTTTCTACCTTTACACACACTCCCAAACTCATCCACTAACCTTTGCAATTTTTCTTTAGAATCTCCCATAAGCACAGTATCATCAGCAAAAAGTAACTGTGTTAATTCCCATTTTGAATTTGATTCCCCATAATTTAATCCCACCCCTCTCCCGAACACCCTAGCATTTACTTCTTTTACAACCCCATCTATCATATGCCTTTTCTAAATCCATAAATGCAATAAAAACTTCCCTACCTTTATCTAAATACTGTTCACATATATGCTTCAATGTAAACAATTGATCTACACATCCCCTACCCACTCTGAAGCCTCCTTGCTCATCCGCAATCCTACATTCTGTCTTACCTCTAATTCTTTCAATTATAACCCTACCGTATACTTTTTCTGGTATACTCAGTAAACTTATTCCTCTCTAATTTTTACAATCTCTTTTGTCCCCCTTCCCTTTATATAAAGGGACTATACATGCTCTCTGCCAATCCCTAGGTACCTTCCCCTCTTTCATACATTTATTAAACAAAAGTACCAACCACTCCAACACTATATCCCCCCCTGCTTTTAACATTTCTGTCATGATCCCATCAGTTCCAGCTGCTTTACCCCCTTTCATTCTACGTAATGCCTCATGTACCTCCACCACACTTACATTCTGCTCTTCTTCACTCCTAAAAGATGGTATACCTCCCTGGCCAGTGCATGAAATTACTGCCTCCCTTTCTTCCTCAACATTTAAAAGTTCCTCAAAATATTCTCGCCATCTACCTAATACCTCCCTCTCCCCATCTACTAACTCCCCTACTCTGTTTTTAACTGACAAATTCATACTTTCCCTAGGCTTTATTAACTTGTTTAACTCACTCCAAAATTTTTTCTTATTTTCATTAAAATTTCTTGACAGTGCCTCTCCCACTCTTTCATCTGCTCTCCTTTTACATTCTCTCACCACTCTCTTCACCTTTATTTTGCACTCCATATACTCTGCTCTTCTTATAACACTTCTGCTTTGTAAAAACCTCTCGTAAGCTACCTTTTTCTCTTTTATCACACCCTTTACTTCATCATTCCACCAATCACTCCTCTTTCCTCCTGCCCCCACCCTCCTATAACCACAAACTTCTGCCCCACATTCTAATACTGCATTTTTAAAACTATTCCAACCCTCTTCAACCCCCCCACTACTCATCTTTGCACTAGCCCACCTTTCTGCCAATAGTCGCTTATATCTCGCCCGAACTTCCTCCTCCCTTAGTTTATACATCTTTCACCTCCCTCTTACTTGTTGTTGCCACCTTCCTCTTTTCCCATCTACCTCTTACTCTAACTGTAGCTACAACTAAATAATGATCCGATATATCAGTTGCCCCTCTATAAACATGTACATCCTGGAGCCTACCCATCAACCTTTTATCCACCAATACATAATCTAACAAACTACTTTCATTACGTGCTACATCATACCTTGTATATTTATTTATCCTCTTTTTCATAAAATATGTATTACTTATTACCAAATTTCTTTCTACACATAGCTCAATTAAAGACTCCCCATTTACATTTACCCCTGGCACCCCAAATTTACCTACTACTCCCTCCATAACATTTTTACCCACTTTAGCATTGAAATCCCCAACCACCATTACTCTCACACTTGATTCAAAACTCCCCACGCATTCACTCAACATTTCCCAGAATCTCTCTCTCTCCTTACACTTCTCTCTTCTCCAGGTGCATACATGCTTACTATAACCCACTTTTCACATCCAATCTTTATTTTACTCCACATAATCCTTGAATTTATACATTTGTAGTCCCTCTTTTCCTGCCATAGCTTATCCTTCAACATTATTGCTGCTCCTTCTTTAGCTCTAACTCTATTTGAAACCCCTGACCTAATCCCATTTATTCCTCTCCATTGAAACTCTCCCACCCCCTTCAGCTTTGTTTCACTTAAAGCCAGGACATCCAGTTTCTTCTCATTCATAACATCCACAATCATCTCTTTCTTATCACTTGCACAACATCCACGCACATTCAGACTTCCCACTTTGACATTTTTCTTCTTATTCTTTTTAGTAATCTTTACAGGAAAAGGGGTTACTAGCCCATTGTTCCCGGCATTTTAGTTGACTTTTACAACACGCATGGCTTACGGAGGAAAGATTCTTATTCCACTTCCCCATGGATATAAAAGGAAAAGTAATAAGACCAAGAACTATTAAGATAAAATCAAAGAAAACTCAGATGAGTGTGTATAAATAAACGTGTACATGTATGTGTAGTGTGACCTAAGTGTAAGTAGAAGTAGCAAGACATGCCTGTAATCTTGCATATTTATGAGACAGACAAAAGACTATTATTATTATTATTACTAGAATAATAATTTGCTCCCAGTTTTCTAAGATATTTGGAAAGTATCTGAGTGCCTCTGCAAAGAGTGATTATGTATGTGATGGTGAAAGTGTTAAATGATGATGAAAGTTTTCTTTCAATTGGGGTTTTTCTTTCTTTTTGGGTCACCCTGCCTCAGTGAGAAATGACCGACGTGTTAAAAAAAAAATTGGAAAGTGGAGGTAAGTAGTTTTTATGACTTGATGTACTGTTGGAGTGTGAACAAGGTACCATCTGTGAAGGGATTCAGGGGAAACCAGTTAGCCTGACTTGAGTCCTGGAGGAGGGAAGTACAGTGCCTGCACTCTGAAGGAGGGGTGAGGGTATTTGTAGTTTTGAACCATAGTACCAGCACCCCTCTGGCAAGACAGTGATGGAGTGAGTGATAGTGAAAGTGTTTCTTCTTTTCTGGGTCACCCTACCTCAGTGGGATGTGGCTGGTTTGTTGAAAAAAAAAATGGAAAGAATAATTAATGACTAACAGTGAGGGTGACTTTGAGAGGAGTGTAAGATAGGGTTCTGGGTACTTCAACCCTAGCAAACAAGTTTTGAATATTAAAATAATACTTGATGAATACAGGTGTTTCCTTGCTGTATGTGGAAGCTGTAGTAACCTCAGCCACATTAATAATGCATCATTACTCATGCTAGCATTCTTCATTGTTTTATATATATTTGTACTGATTGCATTAAAACAAAGGTTTTATCACACGAAGGGAATTGCTGATATATACGGGACATTGCATAAATTTGAATTGGCATATACTGAACCCACTCTTGAAGGAGGCTGGGATGGTGCAGTCAGAGGGTTATCTCATTGTGATACCAGAACACTTATGGAAAGATAGCGATTGAGTGAATGTTGGTGAGTGTGTTTGCTTTGTGTCACCTTGTCTTTGGGTCAACTTGCCATGGGAGGAGACAGCTATTAAGGTAAACAATTGTAATGTAAGTATTGTATTTATTTGTTGAAAAACTTTAAACTTGTAAATCAATACCAATATCCTATAGATCCAGGGTTTCTTAACTGGGGAATTTTTTTTTTTTCAACAAGTTGGCCATCTCCCACCGAGGCAGGGTGACCCAAAGAGAAAGAAAATCCCCAAAAAGAAAATACTTTCATCATCATTCAACACTTTCACCTCACTCACACATAATCACTGTTTTTGCAGAGGTGCCCAGAATACAACAGTTTAGAAGTATATACGTATAAAAGTACTGTACACAATATATCTCTCCAAACTGCCAATATCCCAAACCCCTCCTTTAGAGTGCAGGCATTGTACTTCCCATTTCCAGGACTCAAGTCCGGTTATATAAAATAACCAGTTTCCCTGAATCCCTTCACTAAATATTACCCTGCTCACACTCCAACAGATCGTCAGGTCCCAAATACCATTTGTCTCCATTCACTCCTATCTAACACGCTCACGCACACTTGCTGGAAGTCCAAACTCCTCGCCCACAACACCTCCTTTACCCCCTCCTTCCAACCTTTTCAAGGACGACCCCTACCCCGCCTTCCTTCCCCTACAGATTTATAGGCTCTCCATGTCATTCTACTTTGATCCATTCTCTCTAAATGACCAAACCACCTCAACAAACCCTCTTCAGCCCTCTGACTAATACTTTTATTAACTCCACACCTTCTCCTAATTTCCACACTCCGAATTTTATGCATAATATTTACACCACACATTGCTCTTAGACAGGACATCTCCACTGCCTCCAACTGCCTCCTTGCTGCATCATTTACAACCCAAGGTTCACACTCATATAAGATTGTTGGGATATGGGAATCATATAAAAGGGGTGTGGGACTTGATGTACATAAATGGTTCAAAGAACCGACAGGATGATGAATTAAACACTTGGGTATCTTTATTGTAGAAACGTTTCACCAACCACTGGCTTCTTCAGTCCAGTACAGAGAAAGATGGTGGAAGATCAGAAGGGGATTGAGGTAATCAGTCCTTCAGCCTGGAGTTGATGTGTCCAGTCCATTAATCTTGATGGGCAATAATGATACCCAGGTGTTGCACAGGTGTCTAATTCATCATAGGACTTGGTATCTGAGCAGTTTAAAAAAAAAAAGTGGTTAAATTAGAGTAAACTGTCAGTTGTTCTGTTGCTAGCTATCCATATATAGAGTACAGTGCAACCCCAGTTTTCGTCCGGTCCGATTATCATACAGTTCAGTTTTCGACCACTTTTCGGCAAAATTTTCCCAGTTTTCGTACATCTGCTTGGAAATTGTCCGTACCAGATGCGTCCGCCTGCCCGCGGGACGTGGCTTCTCATACGTTCGTGACTCAGTCTGCTTTTGCTACTTGTAGAGGGTGGTAGTGATGGTGGTAGAGGGTGGTAGTGATGTGGTAGAGGGTGGTGGTGATGGTGGTAGAGATTAGTAGTGATAGTGGTAGAGGTTAGTAGTTATAGTGGTAGAGGGTGGTAGTGATGGTGGTAGAGGGTGGTATTGATGATGGTAGAGGGTGGTAATGATGGTGGTAGAGGGTGGTAGTGATGGTGGTAGGGGTGGTAGTGATGGTGGTAGAGGTTAGTAGTGATAGTGGTAGAGGGTGGTAGTGATGGTAGTAGAGGGTGGTAGTAATGGTGGTAGAGGTGGTAGTGAGGGTGGTAGAGGGTGGTAGTGATGATGGTAGAGGGTGGTAGTGATGGTGGTAGAGGTTAGCAGCAGTAGTGGTAGAGGGTGGTAGTAATGGTGGTAGAGGGGGTAGTGATGGTGGTAGAGATAACCACTCCTCCCTCTCCCTTCCTCGCTGTCTTCCATACGCCAACAAGAGTCTTCAATAATGGTAAAAGTGATTTAAATGTTCATTTATCCATTTCATTAGTGCTTTATATTTATTTCTCATTGTTTTCTGTATGTAAAACTATGGTTATTCTCTATAAAATGTATTTTTTGTTAATATTTTTGGGTGTCTGGAATGGATTAATTGGATTTACATTATTTCTTATGGGAAATATTACTTCAGTTTTCATACAAATAGGTTTTCGGCTGACCTTCTGGAATTGATTAAAGATGAAAACCGGGGTTCCACTGTAAAACCAAGTTGTTGCCGTCTTTTGAAGTCATCCTGGTACCTAATAGGTCTGGTGATGATGATATTGACAGTCTGGTGAAGGGGGTATTTGCACATATTGGGCAATCCATTTGGGTCTGTAATTGTAAAAAGGTTAAGAACCCTTGCGATAGATGAATATGATTACATTAATTGATTGTTTACAGATGTTGAAGGGAATATGCTAGGTGTAAACCAAGCAGGAGCCATTGGAGGTCAGGGTCAACCACAGGCTACAATGCAGCAGGCAAGTGCTGTGGGGCAAGGAATGAACCCTCCTAACCAACGTTCTGTTGTTTGGCAAGGCACGCTCGAGTGGCAAGAGAAGAAGACTGATAATAATAGTAGAGTGGTGCATCAGGTCACATGTAAGATGACCTCGCTGGTGGTGAATGGAGAACCAGAAGTGTAAGCAACACATTTTTGTGATTTGATGTTTGCCCCTTTTTTTGCGAATGTAATAATACTAAAATAATGATAATGAATGTTTTCAAGCAGGGGTCCCCAGCCTGTGTGCCCTCCTCCGATGAATATAAAATAAATAAAATGAATATGTATTTAATCTTTTGCATTAAATGTTTTATTTCTTCAGTTTCATATTTTCTTTTTCTGCACACAATGGGTTATTTTAGGCATAATATCCTGGCAGTCTTATCAGTAGGCAGCCCAAGACCATACTTCTGCACATCTTTGTCTACAAATTTTCTGTAGGTCTGACACCAGACTGTGGGGAGGCATGATCCTGCAATCATTAACACACACAAAAAAAATATTTGAAAGCATTTTGTTTTGTAATGCAGATATTTTTTTTTGGCTTTTCTGTGTACTAAACATAAACTTTGATGGTAATTTGAAGGCTTAGGGCAGATATACCAGGTCTGACTATTAGGCATTTTTAAGACTGAATTACATAGACACTGCAGTGGGGCCGTTGTACAAGGAGTTTTCAACTTTGGAACATTTAGATTTGCAAACATCCGCACTTACAGTGAAGGCCTTTAGGAAACTGAAATTTTTACCACTGTCAATATGTAATTATGCATGTACGTCAAACATAGCCATTCCTCTGTACTGTTGTTGTCAGTCGGAAAATAGGTTCTGTCATAACTGGTGAATTAGCCGATACATCAGCAGCACAACCTGTTTAAAAACTATAGCCTCTAGGAGTCTAGGTAGTACTGAAGAATTCTTTCAAATACTGTGGCTTCTGGTTAGTATCAAAGAATTCCACTTATGCAGCCGTTAGTAATATTGAGGTTCAGTATATCTGTTCTTTGTGCATGTATTTAAAACATGAATATTATATTTCAGGAAAGCAGACTGTTGGGCTCCAACACTTATCATGCAGATGATTCCAAAGCATATTCTTGGCTCCATTGGTAATTCATTCTTCAAGAATGTCAAGACTGTCATGTTCTTGCCTGACCAAAGTCCTGCACTGGATATACTCACCAACTTCTTGTTCCGTGGCATGGTAATGTGAATTTTAGGGGTAATACTAACTTATCATTTCGTCCAAGCTATGAACCCTCCTATATCATTACTATGGGGTAAAAATGGGTACGTAATCACTTAAAAAAGTCACCATATGACAAAAATCTGTGTTAAAAGGCACTTGTTTTTTCCTGACAAACAAAAGGCCACATCTTCAATAATCTCCAATGTGGAAGTCTATCTAAAGCCTTATTGAAGTCCATATACACAATATCATATTTATTACCATGATCTATCTCCTCAAATACCTTAGTGAAAACATAAGTAAATTTACTTATGTAAGGCAGGAACACCCCTTTGTAAAACAGTGCTAACACCTTGGTACAGTGTGTTGCAGTCTTATACTTCTTTAGACAAGCTTTTAGTTATTTGCTTTGTGTCTTGTAGAGTAATAATTATAACAAGAGAAATGGAAACTTTTTGAAGCTAGTGCGACTTGCAAATGGTTCAAGTTGGACCGTAATGTCATCATAAGCTGCTCTCTTTTATGTGTGGGTTATTTGTGTATTGTTCCAATCAGGGTATTGTGCCTTTTTATTCTTCACTATCATTCATTTTATAGTAGTCTTGCCAGAAGTACACAGACATTGCAATTTAAATGACCCTCCACATTGCAACATTGTCACCTCTCCTGAAGTTCAAGCACTTCTTTTCCCCACCTCCCAAACCCAGATTTAGCTAACTGGATTCCCTGAATCCAGTTAGCTGGAATTCGAGCTAGAATGTTTCCCTTAGCTACTCTGCCTGGGCTTCCTACTTTATTTCTGCAACATTGCAAGCTCCTGATGATTTGTAGATTGCAACACAAAAGGCCTAGATCTGTCATTCAACTTCCTCTGTGGTTGTTTTGCATATTGTATCGCTTGTTTGTGATTATTGCATAAATAAATATGTTGTTTGTTAATATAAATCTTTAGATTACATAATTACTACTGTTTCTTGCAGGCAGGATGTGTGCATGTCTCCCATGCATCCCCGGCTCAGAGCGAAGTAAAAGTTATCATCCTGCTTTTTTCAAGTGAAAAGAAAGCCTATGTTGGTTTTATTCCAGTTGACCAGTATTCGTTTGTCAACAAAATCAAGAGTGTTATACAAAGTGCACGTAAAGGACAGGTGAGATTTTTATTGTGTTACAAGTTTGTATACAAGATGATAAATTTGTTAGTGTCAACCTTTTAATGCTTTGTCATATTCCTGTTTCTCTTAGTGTATAGTGACCCTTATGGTTTTAGTAGTAAATGGCATACTGTATTAAGAATAAATGCCACTATACTGTGGCTAAAACAATTCACAACTCAGCTACTCTTAAGAGTGGAATTTTAAAATGTTTACATTCATCCTGGACCATTATAATGTGACTTAATAATGGTTAAGGGCTGACTGAAGCATCCCCAAAAATGTCCCTCTAAAGTATCAATTCGAATTGTATGTTGATTGATTCATAAATTTGTAATGCATTATTTAAAAGTGTCTTGTTCTGTTCCTGCTTCCTCACTCTGTTCCCACATGAGGAGAGAAACTCAGGAAATTAATTGATCAATTAATCTTATGAGTTTATCTCCATGTGGGTTATTATTGAGCATCGACAAGTGTTCATTACACTTTAGTTATCCATCTATCACCATTTCTTTATTCCTGCTCCCTCACTATTCACTCATATTCATCTCTCAACAAACAAGGACTAACTTTCTTCAAAGAAAGTTCCTTGATGCTGGGGGAGTTTTCTTCATCAAAGTAATTGAAACCTACCATTCTTCAAACATTGTATGACTTGTTTGGATTTAGTGTTTCCACATGAATTTAATAATTACTTTGTGAGAATGTTTACATTTTTTGTAATGTTAAATAATGGCTTTAGCCGTGCTGTTAGTTTTGAACAACAAGTAAGAGAGAGGTGAAAGTGTATAAACTAAGGGAGGAGGAAGTTAGGGTGAGATATAAGCAACTATTGGCAAAAGGTGGGCTGGTGCAAAGATAAGTAGTGGGGGGGTTGAAGAGGGTTGGAATAGTTTTAAAAATGCAGTATTAGAATGTGGGGCAGAAGTTTGTTGCTATAGGAGGGTGGGTGCAGGAGGAAAGAGGAGTGATTGATGGGTGTGATAAAAGAGAGGTTTTTACAAAGCAGAAGTGTTATAAGAAGAGCAGAGTATATGGAGAGTAAAAGAAAGGTTAAGAGAGTGGTGAGAGAGTACAAAAGGAGAGCAGATGATAAGTGGGAGAGGCACTGTCAAGAAATTTTAATGAAAACAAGAAAAAAATTTGGAGTGAGATAAACAAGTTAAGAAAGCCTAGGGAACAAATGGATTTGTCAGTTAAAAACAGAATAGGGGAGTTAGTAGATGGGGAGCTGGAGGCATTGGGTAGATGGCGGGAATATTTTGAGGAACTTGTAAATGTTGACAAAGAAAGGGAGGTGGTCATTTCATGCACTGGCCAGGGAGGTATAACATCTTTTAGGAGTGAACAAGAGCAGGATGTGAGTGTGGGGGAGGTGTGTGAGGCATTACATAAAATGAAAGGGGGTAAAGCAAGGGAAGGTACCTGGGGATTGGCAGAGAGCATGTATAGTTCCTTTATATAAAGGGAAGGGGGACAAAAGAGATTGTAAAAATTATAGGGGGAATAAGTTTACTGAGTATACCAGGAAAAGTGAAAGAATTAGAGGTAAGACAGAGAGTAGGATTGCAGATGAGCAAGGAGGCTTTAGAGTGGGTAGGGGATGTGTAGATCAAGTGTTTACATTGAAGCATATATGTGAACAATATTTAGATAAAGGTAGGGAAGTTTTCGTTGCATTTATGGATTTAGAAAAGGCATATGATAGAGAGGATAGGGGAGCAACGTGGCAGATGTTGCAAGTATATGGAATAGGTAATAAGTTAATAAATGCTGTAAAGAGTTTTTATGAGGATAGTGAGGCTCAGGTTAGGGTGTGTAGAAGAGAGGGAGATTACTTCCCAGTAAAAGTAGGTCTTAGACAGGATGTGTAATGTCACCATGGTTGTTTAATATATATATAGATGGGGTTGTAAAAGAAGTAGATGTTAGGGTGTTGGGGAGAGGGGTGAGATTAAATTATGGGGAATCAAATACAAAATGGGAGTTGACACAGTTACTTTTTGCTGATGATACTGGGCTTATGGGTGATTCTAAAGAAAAGTTGCAAAGGTTAGTGGACGAGTTTGGGAGGGTGTGTAAAGGTAGAAAGTGAACATAGATGAGAGTAAGGTGATGAGGGTATCAAATGATTTAGATAAAGAAAAATTGGATATTGCATTATAAAGGAGTGTGGAAGAGTGAATGTTTTCAGATATTTGCGAGTTGATGTGTCAGCGGATGGGTTTATGAAGGGTGAGGTGAACCATAGAATTGATGAGGGGAAAAAAGGCAAGTGGTGCATTGAGGTATATGTGAAGACAAAAAACATTATCAGTGGAGGCAAAGAAGGGAATGTATGAAAGTATAATGACACCAACACTCTTATATGGGTGTGAAGCTTGGGTTGTAAATGCTGCAGCGAGGAGGCGGTTGGAGGCAGTGGAGATGTCCTGTCTAAGAGAAATGTGTGGTGTAAATATTATGCAGAGAATTCGGGTGTGAAAATTAGGAGGTGTGGAGTTAATAAAAGTATTAGTCAGAGGGCTGAAGAGGGGTTGTTGAGATGGTTTGGTCATTAAAAGAGAATGGATCAAAATAGAATGAAATGGAGAACGTATAAATCTGTAGGGAAAGGAAGGCAAGTAAGGGTTATCCTCGAAAAGGTTGGAGGGAGGGGGTAAATGAGGTTTTGTGGGCAAGGGGCTTGAACTTCCAGCAAGCATGCGTGAGCGTGTTAGATAGGAGTGAATGGAGACAAATGGTTTTTGGGACCTGACGATCTGTTGGAGTGTGAGCAGGGTAATATTTAGTGAAGGGTTTCAGGGAAACCAGTTATTTTTATATAGCTGGACTTGAGTTCTGGACTTGGGAAGTACAATGCCTGCACTTTAACCCTTTGACTGTTTTGGTCGTATATATACGTCTTACGAGCCACCGTTTTTGACGTATATATACTCATAAATTCTAGCAGCTTCAAATCAAGCAGGAGAAAGCTGGTAGACCCACATATGAGAGAATGGGTCTGTGTGGTCAGTGTGCACCATATAAAAAAAATCCTGCAGCACGCAGTGCATAATGAGAAAAAAAAACTCCGGTCTTTTTTTTTTTAATTAAAATGCAGAGTTTGTGGTCTATTTTTTATAGTATTTATGGTTGTATTCTCGTTTTCTTGGTCTCATTTGACAGAATGGAAAACATATTATAGAAATAGAGGTGATTTTGATTGGTTTTACTATGAAAAGAACCTTGAAATGGAGCTCAAAGTAGGGAAATGTTTGATATTTGCCGATGTTCAAAAGTAAACAAATTATGTCATTTTCCAATAAATGTCCAAGTAGCCATTTTGATATGCAGTCATGAATGGGTTGACATTATTTATACAATTATTTCAATATTGCAGTAGTCTGCATAACAGTAAATCTTCTATTTTTTGTTTGAATAAAAATTCAAAGTAGAAAGCAAGAGTAATATCAGAGGGGCCTGGAGATGTGACTGATGAACAAAGAAAATGTTATTTTAGAGCCAGAAATGTCTGCATTGTTCATTCTGGACCCTATTTTGAAATTGTCATATTTTTTAATTTTTGTGAAATTGGCCAAATTGCAAATTTCTGACCACGTTATTGGGTAGTTGAAATTGGTAAATGGGCAGTTTCTTGTACTCAATTGATAGAAAAGAATGGAGTTCTAAAGAAATAGCTATGATTTTGGTCGACTGGAGCAATGGAATTAGCCGAAAATAGGGCTCAAAGTGGGCAAAATCGCTGATTCGTAAATATCGCCGAGGTCGCTTACTTCACGAGAGCGTAATTCTGTCAGTTTTCCATCAAATTTTGTTATTTTGGTGTCATTACAATCGGGAAAAGATTCTCTATCATTTCATAAAAAGAAATTTTTTTTTTTTTTTTTAAATTTTGCGACACCAGGAGACACCTCAGGATTTGGGGTTGTGACAGTCAAGGGGTTAAATGAGAGGTTTGGGATATTGGCAGTTTGGAGGGATGTGTAATTGACGGTATATATATAATTGGGGCCCTGATATTATATTCTATAGGGAGTTTATTATATTATTTCAGGTCACTTTTTATATTGTATCTTTATATATGCTTCTAAACTGTTGTGTCTGGGCACCTCTGCAAAAACAGTTATTATGTATGAGTGAGGTGAAAGTATTGAATGATGATGAAAGTATTTTCATTTCGGGGATTTTCTTTCTTTTGGGTCACCCTGCCTAGGTGGGAGATGGCCAACTTGTTGAAAAAAAAAAATGTAGTAATCTGTATATGGTTACAGGAATAGTCTGAGCTCCTGACATCTCTTTCCACTTGCCAGATTCACTTCCTCCTAGCCTCATGGGCCCTATCATTCCTACTCTTAAAACCATGTACAATGCTTGCCTCCACCATTTCTTCATAGAGGTTGTTCCATTTCCCGACCACTCTGAGACTGAAGAAATACTTCCTCACATCCCTGTGGCTCATCTTTGTTTTGAGCTTCCACGTATGTCTCTACTGACTGCCTTTCAAACAGCCTGTCCCTGCCTACCCTAACAATTTCTCTTTAGTATTTTTGTATGTTTTTATCATGTCTTCTGTAGTTCTTCTGTCCTCTAATGTTGTTCGATTCTTTTCCATTAGCTTCTTTTTCATAGCTCATAACCCTTAGCTCAGGAACAGGGCAAGAATTCTTGCGTACTTTTACACTTCTCCAGTTTCTTAACAATCTCTTTCAGGTATGAATTCCATATTGGTGCTTCATACTGCAAGATGAACTTGACATATGTTGTATAAATGGCCCAGAGTGAACGATTGTTGTTTTTCTGAAGCTGCTCTTAGTTTTTCCCCGACGAGCATTGGCTACTGAGGTTATTCGGCTGTTGTGAGCATCTAGCAATACACCAGGCACTGTGGTTGCCACGAAGTCTTTCTCATTGAATGAAGTTTGCAGCCTCTGTCCTCCAGTCTAGTTTTCTTACCCCTTTCCTAATTTTCATAAACTTGCATTTGCTGGGGGTTGAATTCAAACAACCACTGATCTGTTGTCATTTTTTCAGTAATATTTTTCACCTGTATCACCATGTAGTCTATTGTGAGATCTTCCCTTTATTATATACATAGAAAATAACATTTTGTCTGCAGTATTGTTATATTGGGATATGTAGCAATATTTTGTGACAAGAATTGTTTTAGAGATTTTTCAGTTTGTGGTACAGTAGTAATTTTTAACTTTAATGTGCTCTGAAGAAAAACATAATGAATTACTTGGAATATTTGTAAACAGTGCATGATTATTTACAGTTGGTGAATAGTATGATGGCACAGGGAAGTGGACCCAATGTGTCGGGAAATAACACTGCGCACATGGTGGTGCCCGGAGGCTCAGGGATGCAACAGCTGCCCAGCAATCCAAGTAAGTTCACCAAGACTCATGGAATTGTAGTAATGTGATTGCAAACAAACCACGGAATGAGTGGGGTTTGAACCCATGGCATGGAGTTTTATGACTCGCTCTCCATGGTTTCAAACTCCACTTGTTCCATGGTAAGTTCACCACGGCTTGTTCCTGAGGTTAGGAAGCACGACGTATGAGGAGAGGCAAATCAAATTGAATCTGATGACATTGGAGATAGAAGAACCAAGGGAGATATGATAACATTATGAAATACTCAGGGAAATTGATAGGATAGGCAGGAACAGACTGTTTGAGAGGCAAGAAATGGAAACTTAAAGGTACATCTGGAAGCTTAAGACAGATGAACAACAGGGAAGCTAGACAGTATTTTTATAGTCTCAGGGTGGCTGGAAAGTGGAATGATCACCACAGAGTCCTAAATATATACTCGCTGGAGCGGAGGAGAGATGCATGATAATATATACATGGAAGGTACTCGAGGGCCTCGTCCCAAACTTCCATACTGCCATAACATACTGGAGTGAGAGAGATGGGAGAATGTGTAAAATAAATCCAGTGAAAAATATGGGCACCGTGTGAGTAATAAGAGAACATTACATCAACATCCATGGGCCCAGACTGTTTAACACTACCACAAGATATTAGAACAAGTTTAGAGGTTTTCAAGAGGAAATTGTATGCAGTGGATATGTGGGCTATTGGGCCACCAGCAGCAACAGTCTGGTTGATCAGGCTAGCACCAGACGAGCCTGGCAAGTGGCAAGTCGAGAGGCAGGGCCAGGAGCTGAGACTCTACCCCTGTAGCCACTTACTGGTGAGTACACAAAAAATAAAGCGGGGTAAGAACAGTGTTGTATATTTTGACCTATAAATGAGGCATTTTTTTTTTTTACCATTCTGCTGAAGAAACCCTCAGTTGTAGGCTCAAATATTCAATTGTAGGCTCAAATATTCAGTTGTAGGCTCAAATATTCAGTTGTAGGCTCAAATATTCAGTTGTAGGCTCAAATATTCAGTTGTAGGCTCAGATATTCAGTTGTAGGATCAGATATTTAGCTGTAGGCTCAAATATTCAGTTGTAGGCTCAAATATTCAGTTGTAGGATCGAATATTCAGCTGTAGGCTCAAATATTCAGCTGTAGGCTCAAATATTCAGTTGTAGCCTCAAATAATCAGTTGTAGCCTCAAATAATCAGTTGTAGCCTCCAATATTCAGTTGTAGCCTCCAATATTCAGTTGTAGCCTCCAATATTCAGTTGTAGCCTCCAATATTCAGTTGTAGCCTCCAATATTCAGTTGTAGCCTCCAATATTCAGTTGTAGCCTCCAATATTCAGTTTGTAGCCTCAAATATTCAGTTGTAGCCTCCAATATTCAGTTGTAGCCTCCAATATTCAGTTGTAGCCTCCAATATTCAGTTGTAGCCTCAAATATTCAGTTGTAGCCTCCAATATTCAGTTGTAGCCTCTAATATTCAGTTGTAGCCTCCAATATTCAGTTGTAGCCTCCAATATTCAGCTGTAGCCTCTAATATTCAGTTGTAGCCTCCAATATTCAGCTGTAGCCTCCAATATTCAGTTGTAGCCTCCAATATTCAGTTGTAGCCTCAAATATTCAGTTGTAGCCTCCAATATTCAGTTGTAGCCTCCAATATTCAGCTGTAGCCTCCAATATTCAGTTGTAGCCTCCAATATTCAGCTGTAGCCTCCAATATTCAGCTGTAGCCTCCAATATTCAGCTGTAGCCTCTAATATTCAGTTGCAGCCTCCAATATTCAGCTGTACCTCCAATATTCAGTTGTAGCCTCCAATATTCAGCTGTAGCCTCCAATATTCAGTTGTAGCCTCCAATATTCAGCTGTAGCCTCTAATATTCAGTTGCAGCCTCCAATATTCAGCTGTAGCCTCCAATATTCAGTTGTAGCCTCCAATATTCAGTTGTAGCCTCCAATATTCAGTTGTAGCCTCCAATATTCAGTTGTAGCCTCCAATATTCAGTTGTAGCCTCCAATATTCAGTTGTAGCCTCCAATATTCAGTTGTAGCCTCCAATATTCAGCTGTAGCCTCCAATATTCAGTTGTAGCCTCCAATATTCAGTTGTAGCCTCCAATATTCAGTTGTAGCCTCTAATATTCAGTTGTAGGCTGAAATTTACATTACTTGTCTCACCTATTAAAAGTAGGGGTAGGATGCAAAAACTAGGTTATATTAAGTGTTTATTCACCTGGGAAAAAGAGGAGAGACAGAAATTTAGAGATGTTAAGCAAGTGTTTACGAAGCTTGGAACCAAGTGAGAAAGCAGTTGTAGGGGACCTAAATGATGAAGTTGGAGAAATTGTTGTAGAGGGCATAGTAGGTAAGTTTGGGGTGTCAGGTGTGACTGATAATGGGGGCCTTTAATTGAACTTTGTATAGAAAGAAGTTTGGTAATAAGTAATATGTATTTTAGGAAGAAGGATGAATAAGTACACAAGATATGACATAGGGCATAATGACAGAAGTTAGACTGTGTATTAGTAGATGGGTAGATTTCTGGATGTGCATATTTATAGAGGGGCAACAGATATATCCAATCACTATTTAGTTGTAGCAACTGTGAGAGTAAGAGGTAGATGGGGTAGAAGATGAATGTTATAAGTGAGTAAGAGAGAAGTGAAAGTTTATAAATTAGAGGAAAAAGAGTAAAGGTAAGATATAACTGTGTCGAGAAAGATGGGCTAGTTAGAGTATAGTTAATGAAGAGGAAGTCAAAGAAGTATGGGGTAGATTTTAAGAATAAAGTGTTAGTGGTCAGCAGAAAAGAACAAATGGAATGGGTGGAATTTGAACCCATGGCAAGAGAATCCTAAAACTCACATGTCATTGCAGCATATGCTGAATGTTGAAGACAGAGTAAAACTACTAAAGCTAAATTTTTTTTTTTTTTTTTCAACAAGTCAGCCGTCTCCCACCGAGGCAGGGTGACCCAAAAAAGAAAGAAAATCCCCAAAAAGAAAATACTTTCATCATCATTCAACACTTTCACCACACTCGCACATTATCACTGCTTTTGCAGAGGTGCTCAGAATACAACAGCTTAGAAGCATATACACATGTATGTATAAAGATACACAACATATCCCTCCGAACTGCCAATATCCCAAACCCCTCCTTTAAAGTGCAGGCATTGTACTTCCCATTTCCAGGACTCAAGTCCGACTATATGAATATAACCGATTTCCCTGAATCCCTTCACTAAATATTACCCTGCTCACACTCCAACAGATCGTCAGGTCCCAAGTATCATTCGCCTCCATTCACTCCTATCTAACACGCTCATGCACGCTTGCTGGAAGTCCAAGCCCCTAGCCCACAAAACCTCCTTTACCCCCTCTTTCCAACCCTTTCGAGGACGACCCCTACCCCTCCTTCCTTCCCCTATAGATTTATATGCTTTCCATGTCATTCTACTTTGATCCATTCTCTCTAAATGACCAAACCACCTCAACAACCTCTCTTCTGCCCTCTGACTAATGCTTTTATTAACTCCACACCTTCTCCTAATTTCCGCACTCCGAATTTTCTGCATAATATTTACACCACACATTGCCCTTAGACAGGACATCTCCACTACCTCCAACCGTCTCCTCGCTGCTGCATTTACCACCCAAGCTTCACATCCATATAAGAGTGTTGGTACTACTATACTTTCATACATTCCCTTCTTTGCCTCCATAGATAACGTTTTTTGACTCCACATATACCTCAACGCACCACTCACCTTTTTTCCCTCATCAATTCTATGATTAACCTCATCCTTCATAAATCCATCCGCCGACACGTCAACTCCCAAGTATCTGAAAACATTCACTTCTTCCATACTCCTCCTCCCCAATTTGATATCCAATTTTTCTTTATCTAAATCATTTGATACCCTCATCACCTTACTCTTTTCTATGTTCACTTTCAACTTTCTACCTTTACACACATTCTCAAACTCATCCACTAACCTTTGCAATTTTTCTTTAGAATCTCCCATAAGCACAGTATCATCAGCAAAAAGTAACTGTGTCAATTCCCATTTTGAATTTGATTCCCCATAATTTAATCCCACCCCTCTCTCAAACACCCTAGCATTTACTTCTTTTACAACCCCATATATAAATATATTAAACAACCATGGTGACATTACACATCCCTGTCTAAGACCTACTTTTACCGGGAAGTATTCTCCCTCTCTTCTACACACCCTAACCTGAGCCTCACTATCCTCATAAAAGCTCTTTACAGCATTTAGTAACTTACCACCTGTTCCATATACTTGCAACATCTGCCACATTGCTCCTCTATCCACTCTATCATATGCCTTTTCTAAATCCATAAATGCAATAAAAACTTCCCTACCTTTATCTAAATACTGTTCACATATATGCTTCAATGTAAACACTTGATCTACACATCCCCTACCCACTCTGAAGCCTCCCTGCTCATCCGCAATCCTACATTCTGTCTTACCTCTAATTCTTTCATTATAACCCTACCGTATACTTTTCCTGGTATACTCAGTAAACTTATTCCTCTATAATTTTTACAATCTCTTTTGTCCCCTTTCCCTTTATATAAAGGAACTATACATGCTCTCTGCCAATCCCTAGGTACCTTCCCCTCTTTCATACATTTATTAAACAAAAGTACCAACCACTCCAACACTATATCCCCCCCTGCTTTTAACATTTCTGTCATGATCCCATCTGTTCCAGCTGCTTTACCCCCTTTCATTCTACGTAATGCCTCACGTACCTCCACCACACTTACATTCTGCTCTTCTTCACTCCTAAAAGATGGTATACCTCCCTGGCCAGTGCATGAAATTACCGCCTCCCTTTCTTCCTCAACATTTAAAAGTTCTCAAAATGTTCTCGCCATCTACCTAATACCTCCCTCTCCCCATCTACTAACTCCCCTACTCTGTTTTTAACTGACAAATCCATTTGTTCCCTAGGCTTTCTTAACTTGTTTAACTCACTCCAAAAATTTTTCTTATTTTCATTAAAATTTCTTGACAGTGCCTCTCCCACTCTTTCATCTGCTCTCCTTTTGCACTCTCTTCACCTTTCTTTTACTCTCCATATACTCTGCTCTTCTTTTAACACTTCTGCTCTGTAAAAACCTCTCGTAAGCTACCTTTTTCTCTTTTATCACACACTTTACTTCACCATTCCACCAATCACTCCTCTTTCCTCCTGCCCCCACCCTCCTATAACCACAAACTTCTGCCCCACATTGTAATACTGCATTTTTAAAACTATTCCAACCCTCTTCAACCCCCCCCACTACTCATCTTTGCACTAGCCCACCTTTCTGCCAATAGTCGCTTATATCTCGCCCGAACTTTCTCCTCCCTTAGTTTGTACACTTTCACCTCCCGCTTACTTGTTGCCACCTTCCTCTTTTCCCATGTACCTCTTACTGTAACTGTAGCTACAACTAAATAATGATCCGATATATCAGTTGCCCCTCTATAAACATGTACATCCTGGAGCCTACCCATCAACCTTTTATCCACCAATACATAATCTAACACACTACTTTCATTACGTGCTACATCATACCTTGTATATTTATTTATCTTCTTTTTCATAAAATATGTATTACTTATTACCAAATTTCTTTTTACACATAGCTCAATTAAAGGCTCCCCATTTACATTTACCCCTGGCACCCCAAATTTACCTACTACTCCCTCTATAACATTTTTACTCACTTTAGCATTGAAATCCCCAACCACCATTACTCTCACACTTGATTCAAAACTCCCCACGCATTCACTCAACATTTCCCAAAATCTCTCTCTCTCCTGTACACTTCTCTCTTCTCCAGGTGCATACACGCTTACTATAACCCACTTTTTCACATCCAATCTTCATTTTACTCCACATAATCCTTGAATTTATGCATTTGTATCCCTCTTTTCCTGCCATAGCTTATCCTTCAACATTATTGCTACTCCTTCTTTAGCTCTAACTCTATTTGAAACCCCTGACCTAATCCCATTTATTCCTCTCCATTGAAACTCTCCCACCCCCTTCAGCTTTGTTTCACTTAAAGCCAGGACATCCAGTTTCTTCTCATTCATAACATCCACAAGCATCTCTTTCTTATCATTTGCACAACATCCACGCACATTCAGACTTCCCACTTTGACAATTTTCTTCTTCTTATTCTTTTTAGTAACCTTTACAGGAAAAGGGGTTACTAGCCCATTGTTCCCGGCATTTTAGTTGACTTTTACAACACGCATGGCTTACGGAGGAAAGATTCTTATTCCACTTCCCCATGGATATAAAAGGAAAAGTAATAAGACCAAGAACTATTAAGATAAAACCAAAGAAAACTCAGATGAGTGTGTATAAATAAACGTGTACATGTATGTGTAGTGTGACCTAAGTGTAAGTAGAAGTAGCAAGACATGCCTGTAATCTTGCATGTTTATGAGACGGACAAAAGACACCAGCAATCCTACCATCATGTAAAACAATTACAGGCTTTCGTTTTACACTCACTTGGCAGGACGGTAGTACCTCCCTGGGTGGTTGCTGTCTACCAGCCTACTACCTTAAATTACATTTATAAAATTGCTCACAACCAGTGTCTCCAATATCTTACTGCCAGTTTTGTTAAGGCTGGGAAACAAAGCAATTATAGAACTAGGGGAAGGGAGAACAACTTAGCATTACCTAGAGTCAGTGGTCAGTACAGTACAGTACAGTACAGTACAGTACAGTACAGTACAGTACAGTACAGTCAGTACAGTAATAAAAGAGTGGAATAAACTACCTGCACATGTCACAGCCTGTCATAGCATGAACCAGTTGAAGAAGAGAGCCAAAATGTACCTCATAAATAAGGCTACAGAAAGAGAGGAGAGCAATTTTTTGTATGAAAATAACTAATTGTACGTCTCCACCTGGTTGATCTTTTTTTTATTGTAACTGCTTTTACATAGTTAAGATACTAAATTGTTTTTAACTTTTAATTATAAATAATTCTTATCACAAGGAGCCCATTGGAAATTAGTCACTTTGTATGATTTTTTGGGTTATCCTAGGTTCTCTACACATATGCTGCTATGTATGATAATCTGTGTAACTGTATTTGTGTATACCTGAAGAAACTTACTTAATTATTCGGGTGGGTGGATATAGGAGGGTGGGTGCAAGAAGAAAAAAGGAAGAGGATTTGGGGGATGTAACTATTAACCCAACCCTCCCTGACAAGTCAGAGTGCCACAGCACACCTAACACTCACCAGACAATCTAATGTTGTATATAATAACTAGATGACAGGTTACTGTGCTTACAGCTTGCAAAAATGACTGGATGAATGGTGCACGGTCTTTCATAGTATACTGAATAAATATAAACACACTAGCTCACACAAACAGTTACTCATCATTAAAAAATCTTGGGATGATAAATATCCACAAGTGTGGAAGTCCATAAGTTCGTGGGAACTATTATACAAGCTGAAGAATGAGATACTTGTGCAATATTTGGGAATCTTTATTGAGGAAACGTTTCACCAGCCAGTGGCTTTTTTCAGTCCAATACAGAGAAGAACTGTAGAAGATGAGGAGTTTGAGGCAATCAGTCCCTCAGCCTGGAGTCAATGTGTTCAGTCTCTTTCACTGTTCTTCTCTGTATTGTACTGAAGAAGCCACTGGCTGGCAAAGTATTGTACAAATTGTAATTTATTTGCATTTAGGCATTAAAAGTTTCAAGATTTAAGGTACTTTGTATATGAGAATACACAGTGGAACCTCGGTGCTGGAGCATACTGGACCTTGAACAAACCAGAGTCCAAACCATTTTGTTCAGAAAAAAATGACGCGGTCTTTGAACATTTTTCTGAATGCACTGACTTGTTGCTACATGAACTTTTTTAAAAGTGCTTTGAAATGACATCTGACACTGACCTATCTCTCAGAGACTTTTGGAAGAGTCAGTTCAACATCCTTCAGTGTGTGAGGCTGATAATTCAAACCTGCGAAATATTGTTTCGGACATCAAACTTTTCGCATTTCGAACACCACCTAGGAACCAGTTAAGTTCAGACACTGAGGTTCCACTGTATAACATAATTTGTGTGTTGTAAGGTATTCTCTACCACTAACCAGTAGTGTGTAAAAGTATTTTGGGCTTTGACCTTTTTTTAATGTGAAAAAAAAAAGGTTTTAATAAATCATACTAATTAAAAATTATTCTCATTTTGATAATTAAAAAAGTTGCTTTTGATTTTGTGTGTTGAACTAGCTTTGTTGAATTAGAGAAAGGTCATTATTAGATGAGACTCACTGACCTTTCCTCTGACAGATTCTGGTTTGAATGTTATTCCTACCCAGAGCATGATCATCCAGCAGAACCCTCAGCTAAACCAAGCTCTTAGTCAAGGTATTCTTTGTACTCACCTGTTGCTAACATAAACCATGCTCTTAGTCAAGGTATTGTGCTCACTTGTTACAAGCTTCAGCTAAACTCTTAGTTAAGGCTTTCTTTGTATTCACTCATTGCTAAACAAATGCACTGAGAGTCCCCAGTCTGAGTATTATTGGAGTTGTCTTGGAAGATTACAGTCACAAAGGTGTGGAACAAATGACAACTAACCCACAAATTAGATATAATTATGAGAGGATGGTTTGGAGCATTCAGAATCATGACCAAATCACAGTTGTAACTTGATAATGTCCAGGATGGTCTCAGATTCCTCACCAAAGTGTTTTTTATTTGTGAATTGTTTGAGCTACAGTACAGGTCTCCCTCAATATTCGCGAGGGTTAGGGGATCAAGAGCCTCGCGAATGTTGAAAAATCGCGAATGTTTGGTGCCCCAATATCTTGTAGGGAAATACATATAATAAAAAACTGCTTCCTTAACTTATTGAACCATGAGCAATCATGAAACACGTGAAAACATCGTAAAATACATACATGTATTGTTTTAGAAAGACACGTAAGCAAACACTATGACATATTTATTAGAAAACGTTTCGGTCCTGGGACCTTGATCACTTCTAACATACAGAGGTAGAAAGACATTATATATAGGCGGAGAGTGAGGTGTGAGTGACACATGGTGACCTGAAGAATGCCATGTTGGGATGAGGATGGGTAGAAGATGAGATCATGTGCCTCGTGTGTTGTTGGGTTGGTGGTGCTTAGCCTGCTTGAGTATCATGTATGTTAATGTTTTAGAAATTTTGTGGTTTCCAGCGTTATGTTCAAGTTTATAGGACGAAAGTGAAGGAAAAAGTAGGACCTCTGAAAATTGGGAATAGACTGGTGACGGATAATGAATTGGAAATGTGTTCCCTATTTAATGACTGTTTTTTGTCAGTGTTTACACAGGAAGACATAAACGAGATTTCAGAAATTAACAATTATCTAGTTCCTAACGAATTCAAATTAACTAATGTTACTGTCACGAGGGACATGGTTATCAAACAGATAGACAAACTGAAGAAAAATAAGTCCCCAGGACCCGACTAGTTGTTTTCCAGGGTACTTAAAGAATGCAAGATGGAACTTAGTTAGCCATTAACGAGTGTGTTTAATGCGTCCATTCCTTCAAATTACCATCCAGTAAGCCTGACGCCTATAGTAGGCAAATTATTAGAATCAGTTATAGCTGACATTATTAGAAGTCACCTTGAAGAGCATAATTAGATTAATGAATCTCAGCATGCGTTCACAAGAGGTCGTTCCTGCCTGACAAACTTACTGACGTTCTTCAAAATTTGAAGGGTGCCCCACAGAGACTTTAAAAAAAAAGGGCAGTCATGGATAGGAGGTAAAGTTCTAGCTGGAAAAAGGGATGGCTTCCCAACGAAAGCAAAGAGGGGGCCATTAATGGGGCAAATCTAAAAGGGGAAATTAGTCACTAGGGGCATTCCACGGGATCGTTTTTGGCCCTCTGTTGTTCATAATTAATTTAATGACCTTGATGAAGGAATTACAAGTTACATGAGCAAATTTACTGATGATAAAAAAATAGCCTATGATTCGTTCTGGGGAGGATACCAATGAACTCCAGGAGGTTTGGGACAAAAAAAGCCTTGGTCTAAAAAAATGGCAGATGAAGTTCAATGTGGGAAAAATGAAAAATTAATTCGAAGCAAAACTCAAGAGAGTTATCAACAGAAAATTGAAAAGATTAAGTAGGAACAAATTAAAAAAACGGCCCTTTTTGTTGCCCAAAAAGGCTAACAGATTATGGGTTTATTTCAAGAATTAAAGTAAGAAAAATCCAAAAAAATTTAACCCTTATCTCCTAGTAAAAGGCTCATTTAATTATGGCCAGTTTTGGTCTTTACTACAAAATAATGATTCTTTTTGGAAAAAACCTAAAGAATACCTAAAGGATTACTGTAAAAAGGAATCCCCTATAAGAAAATTAACTTTGAATCTCCACTTCGGGGAGGGAAAGAAGGGGGGAAAGTTACTCGGGTGAAAAATAAAAAAAGGGGATAAACAAAGGTGTTTAAAAAGTACAAGTGTCCCATAAAACAAAAAAATAAAATTTGGTTGAATAAATCCCACCCCTAAAAAAAACTTTAAAAGCTTTTTTGCTTTATTTCTTTTAAAACCATCAACCCCCAAAAAATCCCCCCTTATTAATTTTTTTTAAAATAATTTTTAAAACAACAATTTTGCTTGATAGGATTTAAAATAATGTTTTTTGGGGGTTCCTTTAAAACTTGTGAAAATAAATTTTATTTTTTTCTGTTTTTTTTAAAAATTTTGCCCTTTCAATGGTTGCCAAAATAAAAAAAAAATTCCCCCTTTAATCGCGGTTGAAGTTTGGAAAGGGGAAAAAACGGAATGTTGGGGGACTTAAATTGGATTTTATTTTTTTCATTGATTTTAACCTTTTTTTAATTATTTTGATTAATGTCTGTTTTTGTCTTAAAAAGTTGTATTGAAATTAATTTTTATTTATTTTGCCATAAATTAGTAAATTTTTTTTTTTGGGTTTTTTTTTTTTTTAAAAAATTGGGGCCCTTTTTTACGGGTTTTAAAAAAAAGAAACATTTCCCCTTTTTCACTTTATGTTTTGCCTAAGCCACCAACTTTTTTTTAAAAAATGAACTTCCTCCACTTTAAGATTTTTTGTATTTTTAGTTTACCACTTTTATTTTAAATTTGGTTGACAGGGGGTTGCTTTTTGTGTGAATTTTAGCAAGGGAGCCAAATTAAACTAAGAAATTTTAAATTTAAAAATTCCCCTTTTTAGGATAATGGTCCTTGCTTAATCCTTTTATAACTCGTAGCCCATCAACACTTTTTTAAATTATTTTCCAAATACTTTGCAACCTTTTAAAAGTATGTACAATAACAATTACTTTATTTCAAATGGAGCAGAAAGATGCAGTTTTTTGAACAAGGGATACCTGCCAAAAAATTCTAAGAAAAATAAATTTTTTTTTAGAAAAAAGGCGTTTTAACTTCTCGGGTTATAAATACAAATGGAACATTTTAAAAATTTTTCAGGCAGTAACACTTTGGTTGGGTTGTCCAATGACAAGTGGGCTGTACTAAAGATGGGTGAAGGAAAGGGCCATTAGGGGAAAGATGGGATGGGCAGGTTTGCCCACCATTTAAAAAAAACCTCAACAGGAAACAGTGGGGGGAAAAAAAAACAAAAAAAAAAGGGAAAAAAAAAAAAAAAAAAAAAAAAAAAAAAAAAAAAAAAAAAAAAAAAAAAAAAAAAAAAAAAAAAAAAAAAAAAAAAAAAAAAAAAAAACATGAATTTGTGGTGTATTTGGGTTTTTTTTTTTTTTTGGGGTGTTTTCCGGGTTTAGGTAGTATTTGGGGTAGAAGCAACCCCCCAGGGAAAAGTACTCCCGTCCTGCCAATGATGTGAAAACAAAAACCCTGTAAATGTTTTGTGATGGTTTTAGGATTGCGGTTTCTTTTTTGTCTCATAAACCGCTAGAAAAACAGGGTATCTTGCTATCCTCTTCACTTTGGCACACTTCACAGACCGCCATGCAATATTATATATTACATACTCTGGTTTTTCTCCTTTTTTTAAATAGCTCTTGTTCTTTTTTTTTCTTCTATTGCCTGGGGGAAGGGGGGAAAAGAATTTTCCTCCGTAAGCCATGCGTGTCGTAGGGGCCTAAAATCCCGGGGAAGGGGTAGTAACCCCTTCTCCGTTTCATTTACAAAAAAAAAGAAAAGAAGAAAAACTTTAAAAAAAACTGGGAGCTTAAAATGTCTGGTGTAGTGGGGATGCAAGAAAAGATGATTGCTGATTTTATAAATTAAAAAGGGTTTGGGATGTCCTGGCCCTAACGAAACAAAGTGAAGGGGTAGGAAGAGTTTAGTGGGGGGAAATAAATGGGATAAAAATTGGGGTATCTAAAGGAGTTAGAGCAAAGGAAAGGGGGGTAGCATAATGTTAAATGATAGTTAGGAAAGAGAAAGAGAATATAAGGGTTTAAATTCAAAATTATGTGGATTAAAGTAAAGGTTTTTGGATGGGAAGTGGGTTCAAAAAAAAGGTTTTATGCCCCTGGAGAAAGGGAATGCGAGGAGAGGGAGAATTTTGGGAGTTTTTAAGTAAAATGATAGGGACCTTTTTAACCAAGTGAGAGAGTTTTTGGGGGTAGGGGACCTAATGCAAAGTAGGAGAAACTTTTAGAGGGGGGTGGGGTTTTTAGGTAAGTTTGGGGTGCCAGGTGTAAATGATAATGGGAGCCCTTTGATTGAATTTTGTATAAAAGGGGTTTATTTTAAGGTATCTTTTTTAAAAAAAAAGAGGATAAATAGTATACACGATTTTGTAGGGGCGAAATGAAATTATTTTGTTGGATTAGGGATTGGTAATAAAAGACTGTTGAGTAGATTCAGGTGTCATGTTTTGAGGGGCCAAAATTTTCGATCACTTTTAGTTGTAGCTAACTGGAGAAAAGGAAAGGGGGGATACAAGGAGAATAGAACATCAGGGAAAGAGAGGTAAAGGGTTTTTTAAATAAACTTAAAAAGGGATCGGGTTTTTTGGGTAAGTTAAAAGCTTATTGGAGGATAGATGGGCTAATGGAGTTGGCAAGGGGTCGAAGAGGTATGGGGTAGGTTTAAAAAGTAGTTTTTGGTGTTACAGAAGTTTGTGGAAAAAGGGAAAGTGGGGCAGGGGGAAGAGGACGTTTGGGGAAATGAGATGAAAGAGAATTTGTAAGGGAGAAAAATTTGATTAGAAGTTTTTACAAAGTAGAAGTATTGCAAGGAGGAAAGATTTTGGAAAAAAAGAGAGAGGTTAAGAGATTTGGGTGAAGCAATTAAAAAGAGAGAAATTTTGAAGAGGGGTGAGATGTTATCAACAAATTTTGTTGAAAATAAAAAAATTTTTGGAGTGAGATTAAAAGTTAAAAAGCCTAGAGAAAAAAGGGTTTTGTATTTTTTAAAAAAAAGGGGAAAGGAGAGTAATTAAATGGAGAGAAAGGGGTATTGGGAAGATGGGGGAATATTTTGAGGAATTTTTTAAATGTTATGAGATGGGGAAAACTGTGATTTCGTGTAAGGGAAAGGGGAATAACATCTTGTGGGAGTGAGGAAGACCCAGTTGAGTGGGGGGGAAGTTCTGGGGGCAGTAGTTAAAAGAAAGGGGTGGGCCAGCCGGGTTGAGGGATAAAGATAAAAATTGTAAAAAGCAGGTGGGATATGTTTTGGAGTGGTTGGTGCAATTTATTTTTAAAATGTAGGAAAGAGGGGTCCCTGGGTTTGGCAAACGCATGATGCCCTTTTTTAAAAAAGGCAAAGGGGATAAAAAGAGTGCAAAAAATTTTGGGGGAAAGTCTGTTGGGTGACCTGGAAAAAGTTATGGGTAGAGTTTAATTGAAAGAAAAGATAAGGGAGGAGAATAGGATAGCAGAGAACAAGGAGGCTTTAGGAAAGGAGGGGGTTTGTGTGGACCGGGTGTTTCGTGAACATAAAAGTGAACATATTTAGAAAAGGGCTAAAGAGGTCTTTGTGGCTTTTATGGATTTGGAAAAGGCTTTGGGGAAGGGTGGATGGGGGGCATTGGCAGATTTTCAAGTGTTGGTGTAGGAGGAAGGTTAGAAAGCATGAAGGTTTTTACGGGAAAGTGAGGCTAAAGTTAGGTATTTTAAAAGGAAAGAGGGAAATTTTTTCCCAGTAAAAGTAGGCCTTAAAAAGGATGTGTGATGTCCCGTGGTTGTTTAAATTTTTTTATAGATGGGGTTTTTGTAAGGAAGTAAATGCGAGGGTTTGGCAAGAGGCGTGGAGTTAAAAGTTAAAGAATCACCAAAAAGTGGGGTTGTCAAGCTCTCTTTGCTGATGACACTGTGCCTTGGGGATTCTAAAGGGAAAAAGCTGCGGGTTTTGGTGGAGAATTTGGTGGGGGTGTGCAAAAGAAGAAAATTAAAGGTTTGAATAAAAAAGGGAAAAAGGAAAGGTTTGAGGAAAAAAAAGTTTAGGGTAAAAGATTAATTCAGAGGGGGGAGGTATGGAGGAGGGGAAAGGTATTCAATATTTGGGAGTATGAAAGGGGGGTCTATGAAAGATGGGGGAAATAAAAAATTAGAGGGAAAAAAAAAAAAAAAGAGTGGGGTTTTACTTAGGAGTCTGTGGAGACAAAAAATTTGTCCTTGGAGGAAAAGGGGGAATGAAATGAGAGTAAGTTTTTTTCCAACGTTTTATTGGGGGGGTAAAGCGTGGGTGTAAATGTTGCAGCGGGGAAAGGCTGGGGCAGGGGAAATTGTCATGTCGAGGGAAATGGTGGTGTGAATTAATGAGAGAATTCTTTTTTAGTTTGGAAGTTAGGGGGAGGTGGGGATACCAAATGTTGTCCAGGGGTTTAGGAGGGTTGTTGAGGGGGTTCGGACATGTAGAGGAATGGAGCGAACAAATGACTTAAGGTGTATCAGTTGTGTGGGGAAAGGCGGGGTAGGGGTCGGCCTGGAAGGGTTGGGGGGGGGGGGTTAAGGGGGTTTTTTGTGGCGAGGGGCTTGGATTTCCAGCAGGCACGTGGGTGTTTGTTTGGGAGTGAATGGAGCAAATTTTTTTTTAAAATACTTGATTGCTTTTGGGGTTGAGCAAAGTAAAATTTATGGGGATTGGGGGAAACCGGCGGGGGGGATTGAGTCCTGGAGATGGAATACAGTGCCTGCCTCTGAAGGAGGGGTGTTAAGTTGCAGTTTAAAAACTGTAGTGAAAGCACCCTTTTGGCAAGACGTGTGGAGTGAATGAGGTAAAATTTTTTTTCTTTTTGGGGCCACCCTGCCTTGGTGGGTCGGCCTGTGATAAAAAAAAAAAAAATTCTGGGTTTATTGGTACATTTGATGTCAAGGGTAAAAAATTACAGAAATAAGTGATTTTTATTGGTTTCAGACGAAAGTAGCTTGAAATTGACTTTTAAAATAGCAAAATGTTCGACCTTTTTGCCAAATTTCCCGATCATATCCAGTATGCGTCCCCTGGGTTGGTTTTAATAGCGTTCACAAAAGTCTGATGTGTTGTAAATTTTTTTGAATACGTGGACCCCCCCCCCATAGCGAATTAATCCGGCAAGAGGGCGGTGTTATGCGAATGTTCGCCTGGAATTAATTTTCCCAAAGAAAAATGGAAATAAAATTAAAACCGTGCAAGACAACCCCAAAAAATATGAAAAAAAATTTTTTTTACCACAAAAAAATGTTTAATTTTTTGTACCACAATGAAAAAGGCATGCACAATTAAATGACCCCTTACTTTTATGAAACTGGGGAATGATTGAAGGGGTGGGGGAGGGGAGAAGGGGGTTAGTGTTTAAAGGGAACCCCTTATTAAATTTATACAAATCCTTTTTTTACTTCCCCCTTCTTTTAAGCCCAGGGCCAGTTAGAGTTGGATTCTTTTGAAAAATCTTCCCTAGGGCCTGACCTTCGTTCCCTTTTGGGTTTTTTAAAATTTACCTTCTTGTAACAGCCACCAAAGGCACGGTTTGGCAATACTGTTTAGGGTGTTTTTCATCAAAAAAGGGTTTACCAGGCCCTTTTGCACACATTTCCCTTTTCTTTGAGTAGGCAATTCCTTCAATTTCTCTTCCCCTCCCTTTTAAACCCCGTTTCCCCAGGTCGGCCTCTTGCTCTTGAAGTTGATCTTCAGCCTCGTGGGTTGTTCTTCTTGGTCCCCCCTCCCCCAACTCTTCCCCTCCCCCCACTAACCTCCAACCCCAAGGCTTCCCCCAAACCACAATTGTTCCCCAAATGGTAACTACTCCCTCAGGGTTTGCCCCCAAACCTTCAAAATCCCTTTTGTTAACATTCTGGGCCCCAGTTTCTTCCAATGCGGTTCAAGGTTCCTTTTGTCCCCTCCCTCCAAGCCTACCTATAGGTTTCCCAACTGAGGATATTAAAGTGATCCTTCCAAAATCTTTTAGGTCAAATCCATGTCTGGGCACTTCAAAGCCTTTTGAAACAGAGCTTTTGGTACGTTTCTTGAAGTTGGAAAAGGGCCCGTGGTCCAGGGGGCAGGGAGGAGTGGTATTTGGGGGCAAAAAAATTTTACCTTAAGAAGCTCATGTCCCATAAAGTCGTCGCCACGTTGTAAAGACCGGGGCATTGTCAACACCAGGGGGCACTTAAGGGCTAATTTTTTTCAGTTAGGGAATCTTCACATTGGGGGGAAAAAGCTGGTTTAACCCTTATAGAAAAATTCCCTGTGACCAGCCACGTTTGCCCTCCACGCACACACAAAAATTTTTCCTTTAGACTTCTTTTTTCCTGAACCTCGGGGTTTCGAGTTTATACACTAATAAAGGCTTTTTAATTTGCAATCACCACTAGATTGGCACACTGAGAAGGAGTTAGCCTGTCTTTTATAGGCTTAGTTGGGAGTCCTTTCCCCGAGTAATGAGGGCCTGTTGGATTTTTTTTTAGAACAGGCCGTTTCATCACAAATTAAACACTTGTTCGGTCCGTCCTTTGTTTTTTGAAATCCCGAATTTTAGCACTATTTTTTTAGCCGCTTTTTGGTCGAACTGGCACCCACCAGCCGTATCCCCTGGATCCTACCCTTTTTAAATCTCTAAACCAACTTTGCTGGCCTTTTTTCACTCAACTCACTAGTTTCAGGAATTTTTTTTAATTAATGTCATGCAACTTCCTTCCTTTTCAATAGATCGTTAAGACGCTATTCCGTGCTGTTTTTTTTACCCCAAACCAAAAGAGTTCCCAACTCTTCCACACTTGCGATCTTTGTTTCGAAAACAAGTTAAACTTTGGCAAAAAAAGCTTTCCTGATCCGTTTTTTTTGCCCCCAATAGAAAAACGTTTGGGTTGATTTTGGTTTTTGTACAAACCCGCCGGTGGGATCGTATTTCCCTTTAAAAACTTATAATATTTTTTTCTTAAATTTCAAAGGGTTTTTAAATTTACAAATTTTTTATTACTTTTTTCCACAAAAACCCCCCCCCCAAAACTTTTTCCCCCCCCCCCCAAACCCCCCAAAACCCCCCCCCCCCCCCCCCCCCCAACCCCTTTTCCACCCACCCCACCCCCCCCCCAAAAAAAACCCCCAAAAATTTTTTTTTTCCACACCCCCCCCCAAAAACAAACAAAACAAACCAACACCAAAAAAAAACACCCCAAAAAAAAATTTTTAAAAAACCCCGAAAAAAAAAACTTAAAAAATTTTTAACTCCAATGGGGTTTATTTGCTGATGCATAAATTGCTGAACTTTCTAAAACTTCGAGGTGCATTCTGTAAGTTTTCCATTTTCAAATTTGTACTTTTGCTGTCTTACCTCCAGAAAAAAAAAAAAAATTATCATTTCATAAGAAAAACAAAAATTTTTTTTTTTTTTTTAATTTTTTTGGACCTGAGGCAATTCTAATCGGGGTCGTAACCAAAAGAAAAAAGTTAACCCTTAAATGGGTGGTCCAGTGTTTTGAAAAGCAAATGTTGTCTGTTTTTTACCAACGTATAGTATGCACAATTTTTTTTTGTACCCACAAATATACCCCACCTGCAAAAACTTTTGACCGAGCCAGCCTCTTAAATTTCCCTTCCCATGTAGTCAAACATTTAAAAAAAATCTAAAGGCAAAAATGAATTTTGTGGGTTTAGCTTTTTTCTCGGATTTTGAATGTGTGTCCGACATATTTTGTAAAACCTCCTACAAAAAAGTAAAAAAGGGGGGAAAAAAACCACCACTTTTCCCTGGGGGCCAACAACAGGGTGTTCAAGTGGCCCCTAAAAATTTAAAATTAAACATTCCAAAATTTTTATTAAGGTTTCATGATACAAAAAGTGGGAATTCAACCACAAAAGCCCTAGGGTATTATTTAAAAACCCCCCAAATAACCCATAAAATCAAACTTTTTTTAATAAATTTCCATGTTTTTAAGGTATTTCACTTTGAAAGAAAAAAAAATGTTACGCCTCACCCCACTTTTGCGGCATACCATTTACCAACGCCTTGGACTTGCAATTTTAATTTTTCAGTTTTTAAAAACAGATAGGGAGTTAGTAGAGGGGAGGGAGGTATTGGTAATGGCGAGAATATTTTGGAACTTTTAAAAGTTAGGAAGAAAAAAGGGCGTAATTTATGCACTGGCAGGGGAAAATACCCTTTTTTAAGTGAGAAAGCAGAAGTAAGTGTGGGGGGGTACGTGAGGCATTGTAAAATGAAAAGGGGGTAAAGCAGCTGAATGAGGGATATGACAGAAATGTTTAAAAAAGGGGGGGATAAGGTTGGAGTGGGTTTGGGGATTTTGTTTAAAAAATGTATGAAAGAGGGAAGGACTAGGGATTGGCAAGAGCAGTATAGTCCCTTTATATAAAAGGGGAAAAAAAGGGGGAAAAGGACTGTAAAAATTAAGAGGAAAAAAGACTGTAAAAAAATTATAGAGGAATAAATTTTTCTGAGTATACCGGAAAAGTGACGGTAGGGTTAAAATTGAAAAAATTTGAGGTAAGACAGAAGTAGGGTTTTTGGTGAGCAAAGGGGTTTCGAGTGGGTGTGGAGTGTGATCGGGTTTTTCATTGAAGCAATATGTGAACGTTTTTAGATTAAGGTAGGGGAAATTTTTATTGCATTTAGGATTTAGAAAAAGGGTATAAGAGTTAGAGGAGCATGGGCGATGTTCAATTATGGGGGGGGGTAAGTATTAAAAGCTTAAAAAGTTTTTTGAGGATAGTGAGGGCCCGGTTAGGGGTTTTAGAAGAGGGGGAAAACTTCCCCGGGAAAAGTAGGGCTTAGCAGGTGTGAATGTCACCCATGGTTGTTTAAAAAATAAAATTTGATGGGGGGGTTAAAAGGGAAAAAATGCAGGGTGTTTGGGAAGGGGGGGGGATTAAAATTTTTGGGGGTCAAAACAAAATGGGAATTGAAAAGTTTTCTTTTTTCTGATGATACTGTGTTATGGGATTCTAAAGAAAAAAATTTCAAAGGTTTGTGGGTGGTTTTGGGGGGTGTGTGTAAAGGGGAAAGTTAAAGTGAACTAGAAAAGAGTAAGGTGATGAGGGGGTCAAATGATTTAGATAAAAAAAAATTGGTACAAAAAGGGGAGAAGGAGTATGGAAAAAGGAAGTTTTTAGATATTTTGGGGGTGACGTGTGGGGATGGTTATGAAGGATGAGGTTTTATAAATTGTAGGGAAAAAAAGGGAGTGGTGCGTTGGGTTATGTGGATCAAAAAACGTTTCTGTGAGGGAAAAAAGGGAAGTAAGAAAGTATAGTAACCAACATCTTTGTGGGTGTGAAACTTGGGGTTTGGGAAATGCAGCAGCGAGGAATGGTTGGAGGCATGGAATGTCCTGTTTTAAGGGCAAGTGTGGGTAAAATTATCAGAAAAAATTTGGGTGTGGAAATTAGGAAAAGGTGTGGAGTTAATAAAAATTTTTGTCGGGGGGGCAGAAGAGGGGTTGTTTAGGTGGTTTTCATTTAGAGGAATGGATCAAAGTAAATGCTGGAAAGCTATAAAACTAAGGGGAAGGAAGGCGGGGGGAGGGTCGTTCGAAAAAGGGGGGGGAGAGAGGGGGGGTAAAGGAGGTTTTTTGGGCAAGGGGCTTACTTCCAGCAAACGTGCGTGGCGTGTTAGATGGAGGGGAATGGGACTAAAGGGACTTTGGGGCCTGACGACTGTTGGAGTGTGAGAGGGAATAATTTGTGAAAGGGTTCAGGGGGAAACCGGTTTTTTTTTATTTAGTCGGATTAGCCCGGAAATGGGAAGTACAAACCGCCTTTAAAGGAGGGTTTGGGATATTGGGAGTTTTGGGGGGATATGTTGGTATCTTTATATTTTATGCTTCTAAAATGTTGTATTTGAGCACTCTCAAAAAAAAAGTGATAAAGTGTGAGGTGGGAAAAAGTTGAATGTGATGAAGTATTTTCTTTTTTTGGGGGTTTTCTTTTTTTTTTTGGGTCACCCGCCTCGGTGGGAGACGGCCCGACTTGTTGAAAAAAAAAAATATATATGTACGTCTTACGAGCCGGTGTTTTTGTTGTATTTATACTCCAAAACTCTAGCGGCTTCAAATCAAGTGGGAGAAAGCTGGTAGGCCCTCATGTGAGAGAATGGGTCTGTGTGGTCAGTGTGCACAGCATAAAAGATATCCTGCATAATGAGAAAAAAAAAAAACTCTGACTGTGCTTTTGGATTAAAATGCCAACTTTGAGGTGTATTTTTGTATAGTACTTATGGTTGTATTCTTGTTTTCTTGGTCTCATTTGATAGAGTGGAAGAATTATTACAGAAATAGAGATGACTTTAATTGGTTTTATGATGAAAAGGTCCTTGAAATTGAGCTCAAAGTAGCAGAAATGTTCAATTTTTGCTGATGTTCAAGTGTAAACAAATGACATGATTGTCCAATAAGTGTCCAACTGGCCAGCCTAATGTGCAGTCACAAATGGATTGACATTATGTATACAACTATTACAATAATGCATTAGTCTGCATAACAGTAAATCTTCTATTTTTTGTGTGAATAAAAATTCAAAATAAAAAGCAAGAGTAATATAAGAGGGGCCTGGAGATGTGACTGATGAACAGAGAAAATGTTACTTTAATGCTAGGAATGTCTGCATTGTTTATTCTGGACCCTATTTTGAAATTGGCATCTTTTTTAATTTGCATAAAATTGGCCAAATTGCCAATTTCTGACCACGTTATTGGGTAGTTGGAATTAGTAAATGGGCGGTTTCTTGTACTCAGTTGATAGAACAAATGGAGTTCTAAAGAAAAAGCTATGAGTTTGGTCGACTGGAACAAAGGAATTGGCCGAATTTCAAACGTGCACCAGGGTCCAAGAATTTAAAAAAAAAAAAAAATTTTATTTTTTTCTTATGAAATGGTAGAGAATCTTTTTCTGAAGGTAATTAAAAAAAAAAGTATGAAATTTGATGGAAAATTGACGAAATTATGCTCTCAAGAATTTTGATGTGTCAGTGATATTTACGCATCAGCAATTTTGCCGACTTTGACTCCCATTTTAGGCTAATTACATTATTCCAGTTGACCAAATTCTTAGCTATTTGACTAGTATTACTTCTATCGATTGAGCACAAGAAATTGCCAAGTCAACTGTTTCAACTACAAAATAAAGTGATTGGAAATTGGTAATTTGGCCAATTTAACACAAAGTTCAAAATATTTCAGTTTCAAAATAGTCCAGAATAAACAATGCAGGTATTCCTGGCACTAAACTAACATTTCCTCTGTTCATTAGTTATGTTTTCAGGTTTTACAAATGAATTCCATTTTGATTTTTTATTCACATAATGAATTTTTATTCACACCAAAAAATAGAAGATTTACTGCTATGCAATACTGTAATAATTGTATAAATAATATCACCACATTTGTGAATGTATATTAGATCCACCAACTGGCGTGTATTAGATGTGTGAGGTCATTTGTTTACTCTTGAACATCGGCAAAAATTTAATATTTCCGCTACTTTGAGCTCAGTTTCCCGCCATTTTCAGCACTAAAACCAATCAAAATCATCTCTATTTCTGCAATATATCTTCCATTCTATCAAATGAGACCAAGAAATCGCAAATACAACTATAAAAAACATACAAAAAGAAGCACTGCAAAGTCGCTGTTTTAATCGAAAATTACGGTCTTGGTTTTTTTCTCTCATGCACTGTGTGCTGCTGGATTTGTTTTATGTGGTGCACACATACCACATAGATGTATTCTCTCATATCTAGGCCCAAATTTACCGCTTACAGCTTATCAGAGCGAGCTGAGCTCATGGCGTAGATCTACAGTTTTGGACCCTCAACTCAAAGCCGTAGAACTACGGCATGGACCCTGAAAGGGTTAAAGGTACAGCTTATCTTTGATTCATCATAATTATTTTGTTTAATATTTTTACATGTCTGCTGTTATTGTAAAGCAAGCCTGGAAATGTTTAATTGATGTTTAATGAGAGGGAACAAATGCTCAGATTTTGAAGTCATTTCCTTATTCTCATATCATTAATAAAAACATTAATGTGAATTTAGTCTTTTGTAATTTCTCATCATCAAGTGCTCTACCTCTGTTTATGAAGATGCTCATGAGAATTTAAAGCACCTTAATATATTTATTGTAATACTTTCAACAGCAACAGCAGCAGCAGCATCAGACTGCAATACGGCAGCAGCTGCACCAGCAGTTACAACAGCGGCCAGGTATGGCTATGAACATTGGGCAGCAGGGACCAGGATCCAACACAGCTCTTGGCCAGCCACGCATTATGCAGCCTTCTATGCCTACCCCAGGGCTTAAACAACTACTACAACAGCAGGTAAGTTAAGGCACAAGTTCTATAATGCATTAATCTCTTCCTAATTTGATTATATTTTTACTCCCCCTGCAATTCTCATTTAAAAGAATTCTCTCATAGATGATATCTACCACATACTGTACAAACTCCGTTATAGATCGAGGTTTTAATACCAAACTTTAAAGGAAAATGGAGGGGGTGATTTGTTCACGAGTAATACTTTTAATACTTTTGAGAGGTTGAAATCTTTACCTTTTGAGGGCTACCACACTAAATTTTTTCATCAGTCTGCTGGTAGTAGGTTGAAGAGTCATGAGCCATGGATGTTACCACAGTACTCTTTTGGTTTACCCATGGTGTGTCTGCTTATCACTGGGTATATTAAACTTCTTCCCACATCTCATTCCAGTGAGTTGTTATGGGACCTGGCCCTTTGGTATCTTCCAAGTCTATATGTTGAAAAATAAAGAAAATTAGTTATTTTATTAATAGATAATTGCCTTTTAACATCAACAGGTAAGACTCCAACAACAACAGCAAGTGCAGCAGCAGCAGCAGCAACAACAGCAGCAGCAGCAGCAGCAGCAGCAGCAGCAGCAGCAGCAGCAGCAGCAAGCAACAACATATCCTGCTGATGCAGCAACAGGGAATAAGACCTCAGATGGCTGGCCAAGGCCAACAGGTCATGGGTCAAGCTATAGGCCAGCAAAGCATTGGCCAACAAGCTATGGGTCAGCAATCTATGACACAGCAGGGCATTGGCCAACCCATTCAGGACAATAATGATTATATGGTAGATCTTCTCTAAGATAATGTCTGTGAATTATCATGGGGCATCGCTAATCCTGGAGAGGTTGTACAGTGCCTGGGAAGTGAGGGACATTTGTTATGTATGGGAAAGTGGCAGACCTGGAGAGGTTGTACAGTGCCTAAGAACTGGGAGGTAATCGGGTTTGAGTCAAGTAAGGGAAGGATAGCAATAGTTACTGTACTTGGATCAAGAGATCTGGTGTGAAGCTGTGTAATAAGATACAGTTAAATGAAACTTCCATAGCTGCCCAACCATTACAGTAATTGAGAGTTGCAACTCCTTGGATGCATTAGTAAGGTCAGTTGCCAGCAACAGTGTTAAAGACTCAAGATAATTGGAACTTTGCCTTTAAAATGTATGCAGTACTGTACTGTATATGCTAGTTAACTGTATAAGTTTTTGACATATGCAAGAGTTGCATATCATTTGTTCCAACTGACAAAATGTTTGTAACACAAAATGTGTTTTCTTTTGGAAAACAACATTGCAGATGCTGTTTTGTACATGTTTGTGACTACAGATCAGCAGTTGCAAAAATGTTCTTGACTTCTAAGTGTCTTATTCATAAGTATGAATCTTGTAACTCAAGATATTTGTAAATTGTGTACCTTTTTTTTTTTTTTAAGCTGATTTAAAAGAATTGGTAAATGCTGGAATTGTTTGCTTAAGTGCTTTTCATGGTGAATGCAGTGGTCTTTGAAGGTGTTTGGAGAAACATAATTCAGATTGTAAATAAATGGTTCAGAGAATCAACAAGTTGATAACTTAGACACATGTGCAACACTTGGTATTTTTTTTTATGCAAATGTTTCTCCACACTGACTTCCTTAGTCCAATACAGAGAAGAATGGTTGAAGATTGGAAGAAGTTTAAGGTAATCAATCCCTCAATCTGGAGTTGATGTAATTAGTCCATCAGTCTTGATAAGATTCATGGGCTCATTACAGCAACTCTAGGTTGAAGGACTGATTACCTCAAGCTTCTGATCTTCAGTTATTCTTGTCTGTATTGGACTGAGGAAACCACGGTGTAGCAAGACATTTCCACAGTAAGTATACCCTAGTGTTGCACATGTGTCTAAGTTATTATAATTTAAATTATATTTATATGAGGCATTAAAATTTTGTGGGTCACCCAGTGCAAGGAGTGGTAAAGGCTTGATCCTCCCCCTGCCAGGTATAAGATAGATATGCTACCTAATCATGTTTGTCTAATATGTCCCCAGCATTAAAAAATAAATCTTGGCATCTCTCTCATAACTTGATGCAACAAAAATTTTAATTATAACTTATTGTCTATAGTTAAATTAGTCAGTGTATTGTGATTTTTTTTTTTTTTTAGCACACCAGCCATATCCCACCAAGGCAGGGCAACCTAAAAAGAAAAATGAAAGTTTTTCTTTTTAAACTTAGTAATATTGTGAAAATCTTTAACTAAAATAGTTGCTCTATATGTGAGAATTCATGAACAAATTACTGAATTAAGTAATTGGTGATATTCTGAACTACAGTGAGTGACTGTAATGACAGAGGATTACTACTGAAGAAAATTATAAGTTAAAAAATAATAATTTAGTTAATGTAAAACTGTTCATTTCATAATTGCTGTTCATATGTTTTACTAGTTCATTTCATAATTGCTGTTCATATGTTTTACTAAAGTCTTTGATGTGGAGATTACAATATATGGATTGATCTCATTTCCTTTCAAAAATCTTTGTAGTTATACTATTGTTGGTATAATAATGGATTCTTAAGTACTACGAATGTCTAGTACAGAGGGACACCAACTTATGACTAGTACAGAGGGACACCAACTTATAACTACAGGTCCCCCTCAACATTCGCGTTTTCCACTTTCGCAGGCTTCGAACAGTTGTGAATTTCCAGCCGCCCAATTATATTTAAAATATGTCATTACATATGTTAGGAATTGTGGCAGTGGCAGAGTTTGTTTGGAGATAAGACAAGATAGTCCTTCAATATGACACTAATATCAACTCTATGGCTTATTTTTGTATCACAATTCATCTAATATGACATAATAAACAATATTAATAACAGAAACATGACATATACTTTAGAATGAATAAAATATGTCATTAAGTATGTCATGAGTGGTAGTGTTGGGTGTATAAGGGCCACTGAGACATAAGCCGTACATGGTGGTTGAGGCGGCAGCAGAGGTAGAGACTAGAGATGGAGGTGTTGTCAATCGCCCTATATAATTCCAACTACATTGGAGGAGTTAGATTCGTGCTGTCCTTTTTCTATCAGTTAATCACTTAACTTACTTGCTACACTGTTAACCCTTTGACTGTCACAACCCCAAATCCTGAAGTGTCTCCTGGTGTTGAAAAATTTTTGGAAAAAAAAAAAAAAAAAAAAATTCTTATGAAATGATAGAGAATCTTTTCCTGATGGTAATGACATCAAAAGTATGAAATTTGATCGAAAACTTGTGGAATTACGCTCCCACAAAGTTAGCGATTTTGGCGATATATACGTATCGGCGATTTCGCCGACTTTGAGCCCTATTTTTGGCCAATTCCATTGTTTCAGTCAACCAAACTCATAGCTATTTCTTTAGAACTCCATGGCTTAGTGCTTCTGTTTGATTATAATAATAATTCTTTAGAACTCCATTTTGCTATCATAAGAACATAAGAAAGAAGGAACACTGCAACAGGTCTACTGACCCATGCAAAGCAGGTCCATGCCACCCCTAGCCTAGAGCAATGACCACCTAGTCAGGTCACTTCCACTTAAGGAAGGAGCACGGCACCAGACCTGGTAGCCCAAGCTAGTCAGGTCCAACTCACACCCACCCACACCCACTCATGTATTTATCCAACCTATTTTTAAAATTACACGACTTTTTAGCTTCTATGATGGTACTCGGGAGTTTGTTCCACTCATCCACAACTCTATTACCAAACCAGTGCTTTCCTATGTCCTTCCTGAATCTGAACTTTTCCAACTTGAAACCATTGCTGCGAGTCCTGTCTTGGCTGGATATTTTCAGCATGTTATTTACATCCCCTTTATTTATTCCTGCTTTCCATTTATACACTTCAATCATATCCCCCTAATTCTACGCCTTTCTAGAGAGTGCAGATTCAGGGCCCTTAGTCTATCCTCATAGGGAAGATTTCTGATATCAATTGAGTACAAAAAACCGCCCATTTACCGATTTCAACTACCCAATAAAGTGGTCAGAAATTGGCAATTTGGCCAATTTCATGCAAATTACAAAAGATGCCAATTTCAAAATAGGGTCCAGAATAAACATTGCAGACATTCTTGGCACTAAAATTACATATCCTTTGTTCATTAGTCATGTCTCCAGGCCCCTCTTATATTACTCTTGCTTTCTATTTTGATTTTTTATTCACACAAAAAATAGAAGATTTACTGATGTGCAGACTACTGCATTATTGTAAAAATGGTATAAATAATATCAGTGCACTAGTGAAATAACATTAGACTCCTCAGCTGACGTGTATTGGACGTGTGTGATTTGCTTACTCTTGAACATTGGTAAAAATTGAATATTTCCGCTATTTTAAGCTCAATTTCAAGGTCGTTTTCATCGTGAAACTAATCAAAAACATCTCTATTTCTGTAATATGTTTACCATTCTATCAAATGAGACCAAGAAAATGAGAATACAACCATAAATACTATAGGAAAATACACTTCTAAGTCGGCGTTTTAATCCAAAAACACGGTCGGAGTTTTTTTCTCATTATGCACTGTGTGCTGCAAGATTTTTTTATACAGTGCACACTGACCACATAGACCCTTTCTCTCACATGTGAGCCTACCAGCTTTCTCCTGCTTGATTTGAAGCTGCTACAATTATTGAGTATATGTCCAAAACACTGGCTCATAAGACGTATATACACAGCCGAAACAGTCAAAGGGTTAATGCTACACTTTACCACTGGCTGGTGCTATAGCCTTCATTGATTAGTGCTGCTTTAGTATCGTACATATAGAATCACTGAAGAAGACATATTCTCCCCTCTCTCTTCCTCTTCCACTTTGGTACTCTGCTACGAGTTCTTTCTTGAATTTTAGTCTTTTCCTCTTCTTTACTAAAGGGCTGGCACTAGTACAATATTTTATGATGTTTTTGTGTGTTTTATGATTGTTCATGGTTCAGTAGGTTAAGGAAGCAGTATTGTATTGTATTTCCCTACAATATATTGGGGCACTAAACATTCGCGATTTTACCACATTAGCGAGGCTCTTGATCCCCTAACCCTCGCGAATGTTGAGGGGGACCTGTAGTACAGAGGGACACCAACTTATAAGTTGTGTTCTTGGTGTTCAACTTACAAGCATGTTGCATCATCAGGGTTTGTTTACCAACTAATGGTGTCCTTGGTGTTTGTGAATGATTTGAGCTGTGTGTTTCAACTTAGAAGTGAGTTGTTTCTAACACTGAACCTATTATTGCAATAAGATCACAGTCAACAGGTAATATAACAGTATCAAAACAACCACTTTGAAAAAATAGTGAAATTCCAAGTGCTTTCATGATTTCTCACATTATCAAGGACCTGATAATGTGTGAACCTGTTATTCTCTACAAAACAGTAGTACCAAGGATAATTGTGTTACACATGTTTGTAACTGCAAATTTATATTAAAAAATAATAATTTTCTCAGTGTAATGTGTTTTGGGCTTTGTTAATATGTACGATGTATCATAAGTTGGGACATTAACACAAATTAATAAGATGTTTCTCACTCTATCATAGATGCATTCCAGACCCTTGGCAGTTTTATTGAGGTCACTCAGACCTTAAACACTTAATTTTTGCATAATGATATTTGTACTCTATGAAATGCATTGATTGCCTCTTGTGAATGCTTATTACATAAACTCAGTTGAAATAAATCAAATACTGATGAAGCAAGGAGAACGCGTACTATGATAAAGTGCTGCGCATGTGTAATTTATCTACTTGTTGGTTCTCTGAACTATTTATCTACAAGACCTTAGACTATACTGCCTTGCACCTCTAGGGTATAGGCAGTTGTTGCAGAGGTACAGGACACCATTGTGTATTACAACTATACTGAACAGTACTTTATGAGTGTACGAAAGTGCTAAAATCATAATATGTCGTCTAGCAACTGAAGAGGTTGAGATAATGAGGATTCACTTGAGGAAAGGGGGAGTAATTCTAAATGTGTCCTAGTTGGGTTATTGTCATGTAAGTGAAGCTCTACTACCAGCACAAGGTATAGTAATATCACAAATAGTAATTAACACTGATAAATGTTATTCAGGGATGTCGACTGTGTTTCAGCTCGACAGAAGATATATTGAATAGAATCATAGACATACAAGACCCTGGTGGAGGTGAGAGTTGAAATGGGGATAAATTAGATATTTTGAGCAGAGGAATTTTGAGGAAGAAATCACACATTGTGGAACAAGCTTCTATTGGGACAACATTTTGCTATGTGTAGAGCTTTATTAATTTATGATGAAGTTCTACACAGAAAAATATCCTAATAAAAGTTTACTCTGTTGCCTATGTCTTTTTTTTCACTACTGTCATTAATACATCAAAACCCAGAAAGGTTCTGCCAGGAGTGCATTCCAGTGCTTCGTGCAACTGCAGGCTAGAATATATATAGCCATCTATCACACCCAAGCACAATTATTTAAAGCACATATAATCAAATTTTGGAGTGAGATGAACAAGTTAAAAAAGCCTAGGGAATGAATGGATTTGTCAGTTAAAAACAGAGTAGGGAAGTTAATAGATGGGGAGCTGGAGGTATTGGGTAGATGGAGGGAATATTTTGAGGAACCTTTAATTAATTAAATGTTGATGAAGAAAGGGAGGCAGTAATTTCATGCACTGGCCAGGGAGGATCAACATCTTTTAGAAGTGAAGAAGAGCAGGCTGTGTGTGTGGGGGAGGTGCGTGAGGCATTACGTAGAATGAAAGGGGGTAATGCAGCTGGAACTGATGGGATCATTGACAGAAATGTTAAAAGCAGGAGAAGTTATAGTGTTGGAGTGGTTGGTATTTTTGTTTAATAAATGTATGAAAGAGGGGAAGGTATCTAAGGATTGGCAGAGAGTGTGTATAATTCCTTTATATAAAGGGAAGGGGGACAAAAGAGATTGTAAAAATTATAGGGGAAAAAGTTTACTGAGTATACCAGGTAAAGTGTATGATAGGGTTATTATTGAAAGAATTAGTGGTAAGACAGAGAGCAGGATTGCAGATGAGTAAGGAGGCTTTAGAATGGGTAGGGAATGTGTAGTTCAGGTGTTTACATTGAAGCATATTTGTGAGCATTATTTAGATAAAGGTAGGGGAGTTTTTATTGCATTTATGGATGTAGAAAAGGCATATGATAGAGTGGAAAGGGGAGCAATGAGGCAGATGTTGCAAGTGTATGGAATAGGTAGTAAGTTAATAAATGCTGTAAAGAGTTTTTATGAGGATAGTGAGGCTCAGGTTAGGGTGTGTAGAAGAGAGGGAGACTACTTCCCAGTAAAAGTAGTCTTAGACAGGGATGTGTAATGTCACCATGGTTGTTTAACCCTTTGACTGTCGCAGCCGTATACTGTATACGTCTTACGAGGTACCGTGTTTGACGTATATATACTCATAAATTCTAGCGGCTTCAAATCAAGAAGTAGAAAGCTGGTAGGCCCACATGTGAGAGAATGGGTCTGTGTGGTCAGTGTGCACCATATAAAAAAAATCCTGGAGCACGCAGTGCATAATGAGGGAAAAAAACTCCGACCGTTTTTTTTTTAATTAAAATGCCGACTTTGTGGTCTATTTTTGTATAGTATTTATGGTTGTATTCTCGTTTTCTTGGTCTCATTTGATAGGATGGAAAACATATTATAGGAATAGAGGTGATTTTGATTGATTTTACTATAAAAAGAACCTGGAAATGGAGCTCAAAGTAGGGGAAATGTTTGATTTTTGCCGATGTTCATAAGTAAACAAATGATGTCATTGTCCAATAAATGTCCAACTAGCCATTCTAATATGCAGTCATGAATGGGTTGATGTTATTTATACAATTATTATAGTATTGCAGTAGTCTGCATAATGGTAAATCTTCTATTTTTTGTTTGAATAAAAATTCAAAATAGAAAGCAAGAGTAATATCAGAGGGGCCTGGAGACATGACTGATGAACAAAGAAAATGTTATTTTAGAGCCAGGAATGTCTGCATTGTTCATTCTGGACCTTATTTTGAAATTGTCATATTTTTTAATTTTCGTGAAATTGGCCAAATTGTAAATTTCTGACCACGTTATTGGGTAGTTGAAATTGGTAAATGGGCAGTTTCTTGTACTCAGTCGATAGAAAAAACGGAGTTCTAAAGAAATAGCTATGATTTTGGTCGACTGGAACAATGGAATTAGCTGAAAATAGGGCTCAGAGTGGGCGAAATCGCCGATTTGTAAATATCGCCAAGGTCGCTAACTTCACGAGAGCGTAATTCCATCAGTTTTTCATCAAATTTCGTTTTTTTTTTTGTCATTACAATCGGGAAAAGATTCTCTATCATTTCATAAGAAAAAAAGAATTTTTTTTTTCTAAATTTTGAGACACCAGGAGACACCTCAGGATTGGGGGTATGCGACAGTCAAGGGGTTAATATATTTATAAATGTGGTCATAAAAGAAGTAAATGTTAGGGTGTTGGGGAAAGGGGTGGGATTAAATAATGGGGAATCAAATACAAAATGGGAATTAACAGTTACTTTTTACTGATGATACTGTGCTCTTGAGGGATTCTAAAGAAAAGTTGCAAAGGTTAGTGGCTGAATTTGGGAGGGTGTTTCAAGGTAAAAAGTTGAAAGTGAACCTAGATAAGAGTAAAGTGATGAGGGTATCAAACAATTTAGATAAAGAAAAAATGGATATCACATTGGAGGGAGAGAGTATGGAAGAAGTGAATGTTTTCAGATATTTGGTAGTTGACTTGTCAGCAGATGGGTTTATGGAGGATGAGGTTAACCATAGAATTGATGAAGGAAAAATGGTGAGTGGTGTGTTGAGGTATCTGTGGAGATAAAGAAGTTAATGTACAAGAGTATAGTGGTACCAATACTCTTATATGGGTGTGAAGCATGGGTTGTAAATGCTGCAGCGAAGAGGCGGCTGGAGGCAGTGGAGATGATGTGTCTAAGGGCAGTGTTATGGTGTAATATTATGCAGAGAATTTGTAGTGTGGAAATTAGCAGGTGTGGAGTTACTAAAAGTATTAGTCAGAGGGCTGAAGAGGGGCTGTTGAGGTGGTCTGGTCATTTCAAGAGAATGGAACAAAGTGGAATGACTTGGAGAGCATATAAATCTGTAGGTGAAGGAAGGCTGGGTAGGGAGTCGTCCCAAAAAGTTGGAGGGAGGGGGTTAAGGAGGTTTTGTGGGCGAGGGGCTTGGACTTCTAGCAGTGTACGTGAGCGTGTTAGATAGGAGTGAATGGAGGTGAATAGTTTTTGGGACCTGAAAAGCTGTTGGAGTGTGTAAAAGGGTAATATTTTATGAAGGGATTCATGGAAACTGTTAGCTGGACTGGGTCCTGGAAATGGGAAGTACAATGCCTGCACTTTAAAGGAGGGGTTGGAATATTGGCAATTTGGAGGGACGTCTAAGCTGTTGTGTTTGAGCGCCTCTGCAAGACAGTGATTATGTTGGTGAGTGATGGTAAAAGTGTTGAATGATGATGAAAGTTTTTTTTTTCTGGGTTTTTCTTTCCTTTATGGGTCACCCTGCTTCGGTGGGGAAATGGCTGACATGTTTAAAAAAAATAATATAATCAACAGTATGTAAAGTTACTTTGTAATATTTTACTTCTTTACCTTATTTAGTAAATATATTTCATGAACGTGTTTGTGGAAAATGAATTGTCTTCTATATTTGTAGCCACGTATTTAGATTAAGGCTAAAGAGGTCTTTGTGGCATTTATGGATTTGGAAAAGGTGTATGAAGGGTGGATAGGGAGGGGGCAATCGCCATTTGGAATATGCAAGTCGTATGGTGTAGGAGGTAGGTTATGAAAGTCAGTGAAGAGTTTTTACGAGGATAGTGAGTCTCAAGTTAGAGTATGAGGAAAAGGGAAATTTTTTCAGTAAATGTTGGCCTTAGACAAGGATTGTGGATGCACGTGGGGTTAATATATTTATAGATGGGGTGTATGAGAAGTAAATGTTCGAGGGTGTTGGGAAGAGGCGTGGAGTATAAAGATGGAATCAAACAAAAGTGGGAGTTGTCACAGTGCTCTTTGCTGATGACACTGTGCTCTTGGGAGATTCTGAAGAGAAGTTGCAGAGAGTTGGTGGATGAATTTGGTAGGGTGTGCAAGGGAAAATTAAAGTGAATACAGAAAGAGTAAGGTTATGAGGATATCAAAAGATTAGGTGATGAAAGATTGAATATCAGATTGGAGGGAGGGGAGTATGGAGGAGGTGAAGTTTTCAGATATTTGGGAGTGGACGTTGTCAGCGGATGGGTTATGAAAGATGAGGTGAATCATAGAATTGATGAGGGAAAAAGGTGAGTGGTGTGTTGGAGTTGTGGGAAGACTTGTCTTGGAGGCAAAAGAGGGGAATGTAAGAGTATAGTTTTACCAACGTCTTATATGGGTGTGAAGCGGGGTGATGAAATGTTGCAGCGGAGGAGAGGGCTGGAGGCAGTGGAGATGTGTGTCTGAGGGCAATTGTTGGTGTGAATATATGCAGAGAATTGTTAGTTTTGGAAAGTTAGGAGGAGGTGCGGGATTACAAAATGTTGTCCAGAGGGCTGAGGGGGTTGTTGAGGTGGTTCGGACTTTGTAGGGGAATGGAGCGAAAAATGACTTCGGTGTATAGTCTGTAGTGGAAGGAAGGCTGGGGTAGGGGTCGGCCAAGGAAGGGTTGGAGGGAGGGGGTAAAGGAGGTTTTGTGTGCGAGGGCTTGGACTTCCAGCAGGCATGCTTGAGCGTGTTTGATAGGAGTGAATGGAGACAAATGGTTTTTAACTTGACAAGCTGTTGGAGTGTGAGCAAAGTAACATTTATGAAGGGATTCAGGGAAACCGGCAGGCCGGACTTGAGTCCTGGAGATGGGAAGTACAGTGCCTGCACTCTGAAGGAGGGTGTTAATGTTGCAGTTTAAAAACTGTAGTGTAAAGCACCCTTCTGGCAAGACAGTGATGGAGTGAATGATGGTGAAAGTTTTTCTTTTTCGGGCCACCCTGCCTTGGTGGGAATCGGCCGGTGTGATAAAAAAAAAAAAAAAAAAAAAAAATTTGTAGCCATTTGTAACCTAAAGAGCTAAGCAATATGTTGACTAAAGGCCAGACTGCAGAGGTAAAAAGACTGTCAAATGCTGTCACATGTATGTTACAGCATTCTTTGTCCTATATTTATGTGATTATTTTTCAATACATTTACCTCAAGAAGTAGCACCTTTGGTTCACAATTGAAGGACCTTGAAGCCAGGACAAATGGAAACATTGGGCATGTTTCCTTATATCTGTTGTCTCTATTCACCTTGCAGTAAGTAGGTA